AGGATACTGGGTACAGGATACTGGAACATCTTCTTGAATAAGCAATCAAATAAGTACTTATGGAACATATTCTCAAATAAACACTTCTTGGACATATCTCGAAAATTATGAATGAATTTTGATTGTCAATTGAAACATTAATCAATCTAATATTATTTAGAATGCAGAAAATAAGTTAAACTAACTTCATTTTGACGAGATTTTTTTTTATTATTTTCATGAAAAATTTGCTGAAATGAGTGAAAATTTAAAAAAACGGTGTATTTTCCAGGATAAATATCCGTACAATCCGTACAATTTGAAAACAAATCCGTACAATCCGTACAATCCGTACAATTTTAGGGTAAAAAAAAATTCAATCCGTACAATCCGTACATTTTGGCCACCCTGAAATCAATATATGAATAAATGAAAAAATGAATAAGTGAATAATTGGATTGCCTCTGTTTTACCTTTGGTTTTGTCCACGCAATCCTTCCCCCCTCAACTTCTATAAACACTTCACTTCCATCCTAAACATAATTTTACATATTAAAAAGAATGAATGTGTCATGGAAGACCAAACGGTTGTGGCTCATGGCGGCCGGAAGACAAAAAAGCTTATATATGGCATGAAAGAGAAAAATGTTGGGGCTCATAGCCGCTTGCCTTCCCCACTCATCTGACCTGAAAGTAGTGTTTGACCCAACTATGTTGACCGTCTCGCTTTCCAACCATCCTTCGTTGAAACCCTTTCAAGATATCCGCTCCATCTTTTCTTTCAGGTCTAAATAAGATTGAATTTATTCAAAATTGAAATTATTCAAAATTAAATTGATGAAGATGTTTGACCATGTAAGTATTGTATATGTAAATACGGTATAGATATTGATAAAAAATATGGTTTTTAAACTTGCTTTTCGCACTCAGTTCGAGGTTTCCAGTTACTATTACTTACAAATGCGCGTAAATGAAAAACAATCATTGTACATTATAATTTTTTGTTTAACTAAAACTGTATTAAACATAGTGCTTTTATAGCATAATAGTTAAAAGGAAATGTGTAGAAGTCGACTTTCAAGTTTTGTCAAGTTGAATATCTAGAATTTAAATTATCATTTTGACGCATTGACTTAAAAAAATAATTTAGTTGAACTACGTTTTCTTGTTAAAACGAAAGATTATGTTAAAACAATATACCTATCTCTAAGTCCAAAGAGTTCCCAGTTATTGAAAAGATAGGATAGGACACCGTTGACATCTCCATACTCTGCTGCACTGTTTATTCCTCTCAAGGCACCGGCTATACTCTCCGCTTCACCTGGAGATAAATTCATATTTATCCACGGCATTCTACAATATTTAACCTCCATTCATAACATAGCAGATAATTTCATGTCCCATGTCCCATGTCCCTGTCTCATCTATATATAAATGAGATTCAATAAGATTTTTTTAAAGTGAAACAATATTTATCACTTTAAATGTAAAACAATTTTTATCATATTCTGTAAAAATCCGTGAAATCATTGTAAAAAATGCCCAGTATCAGTTTTATTCCAACTGATGATTGGGTAAGACCCATGAAACATTTTGTCTTGGAAGAAATATATATTTAAACATCTAAAATGTGTATTTAAACTGAAAAAAGTTGAAAATACTATATTATATATATATACATATAGATGAGACATTCATTTGTATTTAAATGTAAGCAAAGGCTTGTTGACCTTACATTGCTTTATTAATGTATCTGAAACATAAATGACCTCTGTACAATGTACATATAACGGTACACTGTGCAGTGTACAGATGATAAAAATGATAAAGTTGTAAGAAAATAAATCATGATAAATAAAAAAATATAATTTAAAAATCTGCTTGCTTCTGTTTGCACTATTATGTAAGCTTTTCTTTTCATTTTCTGAATTGGGTTTCCTTATTTGTCTAAGCTTAAAGCTCATTATTTAGCAATAATGAATAGCCCTATGCATTAAAAAAGTAATCCTAGACCTAAACATTTTATTAGATTTAAAGTTAGGATGATTTTTGTAAAAACTTTTGCATTTTATCAACACTCAGCAGTCTACAGAGTGTTCCCAATTAACATGAGAATTAAGTCTTTGATTTTCAATTTCAAAGAATCAACGAAGGCAGACCACTTTCGGAAAGCTTAAAACATGTACATTGTACACGTAAATCATGACGACTTCATAATTCCCATGTTTATTGGGACGTGTATAATATGACAAGAAAACCAGCATTGGTTGGTATTAACTTTTATAGTCCGACTCTTTGCACTTTTTTTCGGGTAATTAAACAATTTCAGATATATCTGAATTTTAAATGAAAAAAAGATATTTCATATTTAGGAAGTGACTGCATTATAAAAAAAGAAAGAAGATTAAAAAATAAGCTAATCCCTAATACCATTTTGTTTATAATGGATGGACCATAATTCTTCAGTTTGAGAATTTTATTCTTTTTGGAACTAACACTTTTTATGTTACAATAAGACACTGCCCGGTGTTTTCAAGCTTTTAACTTTCCACCGTCTTTTTTTCAAGTGTTTTTAAATTAGGAAAAAATTGATAGATTCTTATTAATTAAAAAAGTAAACTAATAATCTCAGGTTTCTTTTTCTTTTTCAGCCAAAATTTTGGATTATCGATAATTATTCTTTGAACTAGGACAATTTAAAAGTAAAATTTGCATTTTTAAAAATAAATAAAAGAAAGCTATGGTACCGACATATTTTATGCGAACTTTGCCTAGCCGAAAAAAATTAGCTATTTTTATCAATCGGTACATTGCACTGCCCTTTTTAAAAAAAAATATTTTATCTAAATCTGGTCAAAAAGTGATTACAAAGTAGCTGTAACAAAAAAAGTATGCGACATAGAAAAAAAAATTACATCTGGAAATAACTGATTGATAATGCAAATTAAACGAAAAATGTTCCCTAAGTACCATCATTGGGCAATGGGCATCATGTATTTCTGGAAAATATTCTCGAATGAACACTTCTGGTTCATATTTTTGAAAACATGAAAGAATGAATTTTTATTTGTCAATTACATCAACAATCAACCTAATGTAATTCGGTCCTCGGAATGAAGATATTAAGCTGAACTTAATTTTGACGGAAATTTTTTAGAAAATTTTCATGCAAAAATTAGCTTTTCTTGAATCAAAATCGAAAAAAAAAATGTTTTCCGGATTAAAAATCCTGAAATTGAGACATTCTTTGTACATTCCGTACAATTTTTTGATAAAAATAAAAAACCGTACAATCCCTACATTTTGGCCACCCTTTAAAATTATTATCTAAAAGCTAAATTAAGTTTAAGAAAAAGGCATAAAGCTCCTACTTGCTAGATCTTGAACTGTTCTATATGCCTCCTCTATATCCTCCAGCCATAGTTCCATTTCCCGTTCTTCAATCTACAACAAAAGCAAATCCAATTTTTTGGTAGAAATGTTAAATTTAATTTAATGGCCTTGTTTGTTACATTAAACTTGTTTGTTATCATGTGACTTGTTTGTTATCATTAAACTTATTTGTTACATTAAACTTGTTTGTTATCATGTGACTTGTTTGTTATCATTAAACTTGTTTGTTACATTAAACTTGTTTGTTACATTAAACTTGTTTGTTACATAAAACTTGTTTGTTATAATGTGACTGTTTGTAAATATGCAACTTGTGAATAACCTAAAACTTGTTTCTTACAGGAAACTTGTTTTCCATCTCTATTTTTTTTTTACATGAAATTTTTATACTTGAAACTTTTTTATTACATGAAAATTGTTTGTTAACGGACACTTGTTTGTTGTCTGAAACTTGTTTGTTTTCTCTTCTTTGCTTGTTACCTGAAATTTGTTTTTATCTCTAACTTGTTTGTTACATGAATTTTGTTTGTCACATGAAAAATGTTTGTTACCTGAAACTTGTTTGTTTTCTCTTACTTGTTTGTTTTCTCTTACTTGTTTGTTTCCTGAAACTTGTTTGTTTTCTCTAACTTGCTTGTTGCCTGAAACTTGTTTGTTTTCTCTTACTTGTTGGTTTCCTGAAACTTGTTTGTTTTCTCTTACTTGTTTGTTACCTGAAACTTGTTTGTTTTCTCTAACTTGTTTGTTTCCTGAAACTTGTTTGATACCTGTGACTTATTGGACTGAATATTAATAAGCTCCTGAAAGCAGCGTATCTCCTCCCTACTAGATATCTTGAACCCTAAACCCTCCAGAGCTTCAACTAATCCTTCTCCACCTCCTCGCACAGCATTATTCACCCGCTCTATATACTTCAACCTTAATAATATTTAAAAATATCATATTATACTAACTGAAGTGCTTGGCGTTGCCCGTGGGACACTTTGAGAATTTGTTTAGCCAATTGTTACCCCCAGGGTACCCACTCCCCCATGGGCCTCAATTTTAAAAGTTAAATTTTATTTCTATTGCTTCTGATGGGTGGAACCTTAAAAGACATTAAAAATTAAATACTTAAGCCGCAGTTCTTTGATTTTTTAGTGCAAGCAACCCGTAAGTGGTTGCAAGTAACGTAAAATAAAATGAAACCATATAAAAGATAATTCATTGAATTTTTAGTTCTGAACAAAATGCAAGGAGTGCAAGCGACCCGTAACTATTTGCAAGAAACAAAAAATAAAATGCCACTCTTACGAAACCGAGTAGCCCATTTAGTAAATAGAAAGAAGTAGTTGAACAGCGAAGACGTAAATGAACATCGTTTTATTAACTTAAACAGGTGCACAAGTATTCAAATTCTTTGGTAAGTGTAAGTAAGAAAAAATTTCTGATTAAATCTAACCTCTGTATATCCTGTGAGTACTGATCGTTAACATTATCTATGATCTCCTGTATCTCAGAGTGTGTCAAGAGTTTACCAGACTTGAGAACACGTTTTATTACAGATTCAGCATACTGTTCTAATCCCTCGTTAGCTAGGTCTAAATAAAAACAATCAAAACAATCAAAAGATTCAGAAAAATAATTATATATTTTTATATTTTAAAGGATTTTTTTAATTGAACAGGGATATGAATTTTGGTAAAAAATCGTTCTCCCTTTACCCCCTCTTAAAAAAACAAACTAAATTTTTTCCTAGGACCAATAAAGAATTTGTTTGGGAACTTTAATCCCTGAATTAGGAATTGATAATATTCTGGGGAAAATGAATCACATGGGATGAAATTGAAAAGTAAAATGAAGAACAAACAATCTTACGATCCAATTAAAACAAATGAAGAACAAAATAACTAAATACTGTCTACTAGCTGCGTTGCCCATGGAATTTTAAAAAACACTGGAAAAAATGTCTAACAATGAAAAAATATTCTGATTTTTTAACTTCTGTTAACCGCCGGGTAATTATGGGTTTCCTCGAAAAAAAATCAGCCAATTTCGTTCAGCGTTGGGCCAGCTTTAGCTAACATATATATATGAATAAAGAGCTTTGTTATCTACATGTATAAGGTACCTTGTATATAAAGTTCAGGTTCTGTTAATGCTTTCTTTACTTCTCTCACATCACCAGCTAGTCCTGCTATCCCAACCTAGTGAAAGGGGTACAAAATTAATTATAATGCTATGTTAAACCGACCAAACTGTCCACTTCTCAGTTCAGAAAATAGATGATTTTTTCCCTCTAATCTGAGTATCTAGTGATTCCTGGCCTTAATATTGTAAAACAGTGAGAACCATAAAACTCTGAAATAGAGAGAAGACTTTTAGACTTAATTTACGACTTTAAATAGTCTAATAAACATCAGACACTTGTGCAGTGTAAACAACCTCATTTTATTTAATAAGTTACTAATAAATATATTTGCTTTGTAACATCAAATACACTTAATTATTGCTTTCGTCTTTCTATTCCGCACTTTTCTGGTTCTCACGATGTAAAAAAAATATTTCACGTATTTATTTATTATTTTTATTTTCTTGTTAAATATAACTTAGTTTACCTGAGCAACCAGGTTGAGAAATAAAAGAGGTTTATATATTCCGTCATAGTTTAAATCAGACTCACTGTCTCTCTAAATATAGTTCAAATCAGACTCACTGTCTCTCTAAATATAGTTTAAATCAGACTCACTGTCTATCTAAATATAGTTTAAATCAGACTCACTGTCTCTCTGAATATAGTTCAAATCAGACTCACTGTCTCTCTGAATATAGATTAAATCAGACTCACTGTCTCTCTAAATATAGTTCAAATCAGACTCACTGTCTCTTTAATTATAGTTTAAATCAGACTAACTGTCTCTTTAAATATAGTTTAAATCAGACTCACTGTCTCTCTAAATATAGTTCAAATCAGACCCACTGTCTCTTTAAATATAGTTTAAATCAGACTCACTGTCTCTCTAAATATAGTTCAAATCAGACTCACTGTCTCTTTAATTATAGTTTAAATCAGACTAACTGTCTCTTTAAATATAGTTTAAATCAGACTCACTGTCTCTCTAAATATAGTTCAAATCAGACTCACTGTCTCTTTAATTATAGTTTAAATCAGACTAACTGTCTCTTTAATTATAGTTTAAATCAGACTAACTGTCTCTTTAAATATAGTTTAAATCAGACTCACTATCTCTCTCAATAAAGTTTATTGTTACAGGGGCAAAATTTTTTTTCATTCAATCTTTGTTGCAAAGGGTTATTTATTTATATAAAAAAAATCTTAAAATTTGTTTTGCCGTCGCTTGCATTATTATTTTCCTGTGATGTAGTTTGATGGACGATGTTAAATAAAATTATAATGTTTTCCTTGAAAAACCTGAGTTTGGTAATTGCTACCTGTATGATGCCAAGTTCTGTATAGTAAAGATGAGCTGCGGGATGAAGAACAACAGGAAGATGGAGAGCAGGGTGTTGGAGAGCTTCTAATATTCTACTCGAGTCTCTAGTTTTAGCAATATTTTAGCAAAATTAATCCAAAAAATTTAAGAAAATGTTCCAAACCCCAATAAACAGTTATTCTCTTGAATACAAAGACATTTTTACGTAATCAATAAATCACTTATTTCATTCTTGTTCAGACAAAACTTTTCAGGGTTAAATTGTGAATAGAGGTTAACTTGAAATTCCAACGAGAATCTCTTGAAATAAAAGTTTATAAATTCTAATATTCGGTTTTTATTTTCTCATAGAGTAAATAAAGTAGGTGTAAGTTCCGCATTAAAAAAAAATATTTTTCGGTCAAGGTATATTCTCTTTCTTTAGTTCTTGAGATTTGTTTGTCACGAAGATGAAAATCATTATAAATTTTAACCTGTGTCTCAATGCTGCGTTTACTTCGGCAATAGCGTGCTCGAGAGAGTTCTTCTCCTTCCCGAGTAGGTTAGCGGACACTACGGCCTCATAAATCCTCGTCTTCTTCAACACCTCATTCTCATCCATACCTTGAGGATGTAAGGTTTAACGAACTTTGATTGTAATTTTTAATTCTATGAAGCAGGGGTGTATCCCCCAAAAAAAGTATTTTTTCCCGAATCAGAAAATAAAACCATAATAACATAATTATCTTCCAAGGAAAAAAGATTTTCAAAAGAGAGAATGAGTGATTTTTCAAGAAAATATACACCTCTATTATTAAGATTTTTTTCACAAGGTAAACACTGTTTTCCTTTAAAGACATTTTTGGAGCACAATCTTAAAAAATAATCATTAATAAAACTCTTCAGGGCATGGATGGAGACTTATTTGTATTAGGAATGATTCCGGAGAAAATTCATGTTTTATTGGGGTAGAAAGTGTCAAAAAGATGGACAAAACTGGCCAGTCTATGTTTAAATATTCTTCCCCAACCCACATTTTTATTTAATGTCTAAAAAAACCAGGATCAAAAAAATGGAGTAAAATGGCGCTAAAAATACTAAAAATGAGGAGAAAATAAAAAACAATATGAATTACTTATTAAGTAAGAAAGCTTCAAAACATATAACCCTTTTTATTATGCACAACAAAGCACAAAGTTTGCATAATTTTTTTTGTCTGTAATTTTCTAAAACGATAGCTTATCCATACTGCCCACAATTCATATTGTAGTAACTGTATTAATGATATAGTGAAATAAGAAAATAGAATTTGTCTTGACTACCTTCAACATAATCCAGAAGATTAGTTAGATAAAGTTCTGCATTGTCCGCCTCTAGTAGATGAGCAACACCAAGACAAGGATCCTGGAGAAGGAACAGAAGAGCCTCAGCGTCCTCGGCTAGAACCTCGGTCTTTACACCCTCAAGAGAGACCAAAAGGTTGGTTCTAAACAACAATTAAATTGAAGAGAATATCCAAGATAGTGCCATTCTTTTAAAAAAAGGGACGCGAGGTCAAACACAACATTTTTTTAAAACACAGAATTTAAAATACTACAGTTTAAGTGAAACCGTTTTTTCGATTTACGAAAATATTTAATATTTTATTTATGCCCTAAATTTTCTAAATTGAGTTGTTACAAGTGTAATGGTGTAATTACCTTGAGATAAGTTCCTGTAATTCTGCCTGTGAGAAAGGTCGACCAAGTTCTCTGTACTCACTGTGTAGCACCAACATGTACTGTCTACACAAAAAGAACCATATACTTCTATTAATAGAAAAAAGGGAACCAGCACGATATAACACACAAAAAATAGGAATATTGCGCTGAAAATGATAAAAATGAGAAAAAAATATGAAATAGAAATAGAAATAATTTGGAATCACAAAAACAGTATGACTTCCATATTAAGTAAAAATGGTTCCTTCCTTGAGTTCTCTTCGTGTACTTCTTTAAGTCTGGAAACAGGATTACGAAGCAGAGAAAACATTCCTTCCACATCCCGAATCTCAATACAACCACATAATTCTACAAAAATAGTATTCAAGAATATAAATCATTCAGTACTTAGTGTAAAATGCATATGTCTTAAATGCAGGTTTATTGGGCCAAACTTGAATGAAAGTTAATCGTATTTAGATCAGTCCACTTATAAATTAGATCGAGTCGTAATTTAATCACAGCTCAAAATTATAGTTACATGCAATCTTTTGGAAAATCTGGACTTTTGTAATTTAAGAAAAATCATTAATTTTAATTATATAAACTTTTCATTAAAATAAATTATGATAAATATATAATATCTTAAATGAGAAATAAACGAAATGATTAAAATAAAAATTAAAATCGAACCTGAGAATAATTCCTCCATTTTCTTTTGATCACCATCGTCGGTCAGCATTACACCCAACTTCCGGAATTCAGGAAGCTCAACGCCGGCCTTGTTCAACTCATCCTAACAGTATATAACAGCTCAATTTGATTTTATAACTTGAAATATAATTTCCTTAAGTACAAACCCCCTCTTGCCTCTTTTTAGTCACTTTTCATAATTATATCTTTATTTTTTCAAAGTGTACGAACATATAATATTTTCATTTTCCAGTGCTTTGGCACTTATGATTAGATGGGTTTCTTATCTTATTTATCAATTTTCTCTTAAGTTTTCTGTTTTGGTGTAAAGTTTGACTTTTTTGCCACTGAGTATATGTATTTTTTCCCTGGAAGTACACAAAACACGCCGGACTAAGCAGGGAGAGATGGGTTCTGTTTTTTTTCTAATTGAATTAAACGCGTCTTGGTTTAAGGAAGGAAACTATAAGGAAAAGAAATCTGAAAGAGGTCCCGTTATGAACCCCCCAGACCGCCGGCAGGGATGGGAAGCACCGTCCCACTCCTACTCTAACTGGACCTTTTTACCTACAACAATTAGCCCATTGTCAGAAGATACAAAGGTTTATAATTCAACTACTTTTAAAACTTCAGCAGCTGTCTTTTTATACTTTTTTAATTTAAAACGCATCCGCGACAAAAAAGTTTTTAAGAGAAAAGGCGAAAATAATCTGTTAAAAAGTTAAATTGTGATCGAAAGTCTCAGGTTCCTGGGATGAGAACCGAACTGTTAGATCCGCGTGAAATCGTAAAATAATGGATTTTTTATTTTTTTTTTAACCTGCATAAGTGTAATTTCTGCATCTGTAAACTGAACTCGACCGAACAGATCCTCAATCCTAGGCGCGCTACCATTTTTGTACATGACCAAACTTAGAGCGTGCAGGCAGAATATTGCACGTGGCATGTTCTTCCGGTCATAAATATCCGTCGTTTCCGGCAAGAATATCTAGATTGAGAATTTAGATACAAAATTGTTAAAACACAATGGACAGAATCACTGAAAATAGTTATTCTTAAAAATACAATTTGTTTACTGAAACTCTACCTCTAGGAGGCCAACATGCCTAGCTGCCTGAAGGAAAAAGTTTATATTCTCAGTGTGTTTAAAATGTAGGCCTGATCTACGAAACCTCTCTTGGTCAGCATCAAATATCTTGCTTCGTGGTACTAAGTTCGGGGCACAGAAATGTGCGAGTTTAGCTAAATATACGCCGTTGGTAAAGTTCGCCTCAAGCTCGGTTGCAGGCGGAAGATTTTCGCCGATACATTCTGAAATCCAGTTTTTTGCTTCCTCTGCTCAAAACATAATATTGTTCAACATATAATTTAAAAACAGATAATGATAATTATTATTTTACAAAATAATTTTAAATTTTAAATCATGTTTATTTTCCTAGGTGACACAGATATTCATATGCAGAGTTTTCTTGCCTAAATAGAGTATTATTAATAGTGAAATTGTCCTTTTTCTTTATTTCTGTCCGATATTTTTACAAGCATGCAACTCTTTTCTCCCAAATGAAAAGGTTAAAAAAATTACCTTTAGGTCAAATAAACTTACCTCTTGGTATCTATATCAACTCGTTCTGCATCCATTTTTTGTGATGTAGATTTCCTTATATTAAACTCAATGTTTAGTACAAAAACAGCATATTTGTCTGAAATAGTATATATTACAGATAATTCAAGTCATTTGAAGTTTAATGGTTTTCTTGGTCTTAAATATCCAATAAGTATTGTTTATACTAAACAACTCCCTGCAAACTAGAAAGAATAAGGTAAAATTCATGAGATACCACCGGTACAACTTTGTGACCTTGTAGCTCCTCTAGTTTTACTTTACACTCAACCATGAGAAAAGCTAATTTATCTGGTTCCATATTAGAAAATTCATAACACTATTGTTATTCTCATTTCTCTCAATAGCTCTTCATTATGAGATGATCCATGATTGAAAACACGTACAAAGCTATTCTTAAGTGCAATTTACTTTAGTTTGACGTGAAAGTAATCTGAAATAAATCTCCAATATTCTATCTACATAATGAAAGATGGTCATTTCCTAGAGAGCGATTTTTGGCCNTGCGTACCTTGATTTAAAATAAAGAAATAATTTGCCAATAATACATTTCTTTCGGTTTCATTGATTGATTAATTAACGTTTATTTCTATTTGCATCCAAAGGCGAGCACCTTATATGTCAAATAAAGATTCCAAATCATTAATAACTTATTAACTACAAATTCTTGTTTCAAAATACAACTGTCAGCTGTTTAATCCAACTTGTTTGAATTTACCCGCCGACATGTTTGAAGCTACGACCTCCTATTGGTAGAATAAATTGCTAGGAAAATAAAAGACGATTTATTACAAATATTTATTTTTACGCGGCCATTGCGCAGTCTTTTTTAACTTAAAAAATACAAAGCATGACTTTTTCATTCATTTCCTTACATTACACTCTGACGTTTACAATAAGTTGTATTCGAATATAGGAATTTAAAATCTAGTTGTATGATGTTTTTTATTTAGATTTATCAGTGTATGGAGAATGTACGACGCTTGTTTGTTGTTGGTAAGAAGCTGTTTATTGCCGGTTGTGTTATCAAAACATTTACGCTGTACGGTTTCGATGTCTGGCTTCTTACGGAGAAATCAATGGAACCTACTTTAACAGACGGTAAGTATAATGCAAAGACACCGTATATTTTACTACTTTTACTAGGTAGAAAAATATTTAAGACATACATCCCTAGATAGAGTTCAATATTCAGCAACCCCAGGCCCCCACCACCACCACTTCTACCATGCAAAGGATTTTGTACATTTCTTTGAATTCAAGAGATTTCAGAATAGCTTTGAATGCACTTTATTATTGTAATACAATGGTGTTTTTTAGTAAAATTTATAAGCGGCCCAGTTCACTCCAGGTCATGTAATGTTGGGGGGAAGGGGGGGTTGCGGACTAAAATTTAACTGTGCTTTCAATGAGGGCTAAATTTAGGTAATTTCCTAGTTAACGATTTTTGGACCCGCCCCCACCTCCTTTCAATTTTGTTCATGGATCTCTTATGTAACACATGGATAAAATTGGTCATGTGTGCGCAGCGTCCGGCCCCCTAGACTTTCTTAATCGTAGCGCTCGGCCCAAAAATTGTCTTAACCTAAACCTAAAACTTAAAATGACTTCATATATTCTGTCCTAGCCGCGCCGCTTGACCCCCTAGCATGTCCTAGCCGTAGCGTTCGGCCCAGGGGGGGCCGGGTCCTAAAATCGTATAAGAGGAAAAACCCCAATATTTGTTTATTTTTTTTGTACAATTTATAACTTTGAGATATCATTGTTTTTTTTTGATTTTTTTATATTATTTTTTATATAGGTGAAATTGTACTATGCTGTCCCAGTGGTCGTTTAAACCTTTATAATCTTAGCAGAGGAGACATTGTAATTGCAAGGTAACTTTTGTTCATTAACAATATAAATTGAATTATTCTAATAATAAAGGAAGATCTCTACTATTTTCACATTATTAGTCCTGAATCCATTGCTGGGGTTTATATTGTATCAAACTGAGGAAAATAACAATTGTAAATGTCCCCCCGGGGGGTGGGGGGGGGGGTCCCCTGCTCCCACCAGGCATCTTTGAAAATCATTCCCCCCCCCCCCCATCTCCTTCTTTTAAATATACAACCCTTAGAAAACATATACCCCTGTTGGTGAAATATCGTTTGCAGTAATGATTGATCTGACTAATGTACATTCGGAGTAACGTTCATACGGAGTAAGTGCGAATGAACACTTCATTGTTCAATCAAACTAAAATCCGAGTGGAAAATTTTTTAAGCACGTGGAGAACTATCTTTTTAAATTCTAGTGGAATTTGGCTCATTTAATTAATAGCTCCATCGAACATATTTTAATAGCAATGAACAAAAAATGTTCAATTGTGCTAAAGCTAAAAGTGTGGGTTACAACGACGTTAATACAAATAAACATATTTTAGTGCAAATAAACAAAAAATGTGCAATTAAACTAAAATTTAAAATTTCACCATTTTACACATTAATTCTTATTAGTATACAAATGAACATATTTTCGTGCAGATGAACAAAACATGTTCAATCAAACTAAAATTTAAAATTTCACCATGTTTGCTCAAAAATTATAATTAGTGCAATTAAACTTATTTTAGAACAAATGAACAAAAAAATGTTCAATCAAACCAAAATCTAAAATTTCACCATTTTGCACATTTACCCTAATTATTGCAAATGAACACATTTTAGTGCAAACGAACAAAAAAAATGTTAAATCGAACTAAGAATTCAAAATTTCAGCATTTTGCTCATAAAGTAAAATTGTTCAATGAAAAAAAAATTTAGTCCGTTTGAACAAAATTTGTATTGAAAAAGTTCATTTTCACTGATATTCAATTGCACTAATATATATACAGAAAAACATTAGTCGGCTTGAACAAATTTTTTGTTGGAAACTCATTTGCACTAATAATTACAAAAAAAAATTAGTTTGTTTGAACAAATATTTTAGGTATTTCATATTAGAATATTTTAGGTACTCCAGATCAGTTGCAACAATGATCATTTGTACTAAATATTCCTGGCGGGAAAATAAAATATTCCTGGCAGGAAAATGAAATTTTAGTCCAATTGAACACAGTAAAGCTCGATTTGTGTTCACTTAAACTAATGCTCAATCGTAATACAAACCTGTTTATGATTTAGTGCAAACGATATAGCATCCCTCTGTTTGTTTAGAAATCCAACAGAGCCCAGAGAAAACATATGTAAACGTATTGTAGGTAGGTTTTCATAAGGGACTGGAATCGTAATTGCAAATGATTACATGCTAAGGTGGTAATCCCCGATTCACAACGGTACCCTTAAAAAGCTTTGTCTGATCATGATTAAGTATGAATTAGATATGAATTTTTTGAATTTTGGAAACTGATAATTTTCAAATGCTGTTACTTTACAAAAAGCACTTGTGCATTTCTACTGCTGGAAAACATGTGGAAATTATTAGAATTAAAAACTTGTAACCTAGAAAAACGAGAAAGGTCGCTTGAAATTACGCGTTACCATCCTTTAAGATCAATGTTTCATTGAGAATATTTGCAAGTATTTATTTATCTACAGTTTTTTTCTGACAATTTTAAATAATCTAATACATTTTAGGTATAGCAGGTGACAGAGTGCCTTCAAACCACACTGGCCTAGAAGCATTTGTTCCAGCTGGTCGGGTGAGTTAGGATTTTTTTTAGTTTTCAAAAGTTCTGGCCTGGAGAAATACTTTTATTTATTAAATATGTCTTATGTGCTATTACTTTGAATAACACAATACAAATTAATAGAATTTCAAGTGACCCTCCATTTAAAGACCAACAGCTGTTTGAGCTCATATGTTGTTTCTCTATATCAATGTTAAGGTAGGAAAACAACGATTCCTTTCTCATTATTTAAGGGCCCTGTTGTAAATCGGGCATATAATACGTGAAACGAAAGGTCACTTGAAATTACGATGACAGTCCCTAATATCAATATAAATGAACTTTAGTTGAGAGGAAAATTAAACAAAAGTTGGCGCATGATAATATATTTAGATTTGGTTGCAAGGGGATAATTTATCTGATTCTAGAGATTCTAGAAGTTTCGGATCTATCCCTATAGGTAATGAACAACTATAATGGATTCGGGATATTCGTCTTTTTGCAAAGAAATTGGACTTAATTTTATGATGAAATAAAGCTCTTTGCTCATATAAATATTATATATAACATATCCTGAAATATATATGTAAAAGTGTAGCTGAAATTCTGAACATATAAATATATAAACAGTCATGATCAGAAAGACCCGGAATTAATCGACAGTTAATCAGGCGTCTTTACAATTATATTTCTGGTAGTTTTAAATGCTCAAAAAACACAGACCACATTTTTGAAACGGCCGGACGAGAGCCATTTTGTGGTTATCGGTTATCATATTTGTAAAATTAAATTATAAGTCGTTCTGATTAGGACTGTATATAAAAAGAGTCTTCAACACACGATTTGAAGTTTTATCGTATCAACATTATCTTCCTTCTACAGTGATAAAAAAAAAAGGAGAAGTTGCAGTTTTTCCAATTTTGTTTTGCCGATTTTTAAAAATTCACTAGAGCAATTTAATTCAACAAAAGCATTATTAGAGCCATTTTGTGGTTATCGGTTATCATATTTGTAAAATTAGATTATAAAGTCGTTCTGATTAGGACTGTATATAAAAAGAGTCTTCAACAAACGATTTGAAGTTTTATTGTATCAACATTCAACATTATGTGTCATGCTTCTTCAGTGTCCCAAATTAATGAATTTAAGCTGCGTGTCAAATCTCCCAAAACCCGGTTTCAATTGAGCGCCGGCTTAAATCTTGAAAATGGAATACAATTTTAAATGGAACCAACTAGATATGATCTGCGGCTCAAATTCTTTAAATTCAGCCTCAGGATATATAAATATGTTCTCTAGAGCTGGCAAAACAGCTTGACAAAATTGGCTGAATTTATTAAGAGAATGCACTGTGGCGTTGGGACATTTCAATATCATAGATAGGACATTTCATAGGTAGAACATTTCATAGACAGGACATTTCATAGATAGGACATTTAATAGATTGGACATTTCATAGATAGAACATTTCATAGACAGGACATTTCATAGATAGGACATTTCATAGATAGGATTTTTCATAGATGAGACATTTCATAGATAAAGACATTTCATATATAAAGACATTTCATATATTGGACATTTCATAGATTGGACATTTCATAGATGGGACATTTCATAGATAAGACATTTCATAGACAGAGGAGATTATTTTTTTACAGATGATATTTTTTTCTTCTTTTCATATTTTCCCTTGTCTATGAAAAATCTTCTCTGTCTATGAAAAGTCTTATCTATGAAATGTAGGCCTTGTCTTCCTTCTACATTGTTAAAAAAAAAAAATGAGAAGTTGCAGTTTTTCCAATTTTGTTTTGCCGATTTTTAAAAATTCACTAGAGCAATTTAATTCAACAAAAGCATTATTAGTGAACAAATTTTATTGACAGATGAATAAGTTGAATTTTAAGTTCTTAAGAATAGAAGAAAGTACTCTTCATATGAAATGCTTTTTTTATTTATTTCCTTTGTAGCAATGTTTATGGGGAGCATCTATATATAAATTTGGCTTGTCTGTATGTTTGTCTGTTTGTTTGTATCCAATAAACGTCAAAACGGCTGAACCGATCGGGCCAAATTTTTTGTGTGACCTCACGTGACCCCAGGGAAGGTTTACGAATGATCAAAATTTTAAAAATTTGTGTTTAAAAGTTTTTTATTTAATTTTGAAAATGCGCCAAAAAATATTATAAAATCCGCAAACTTTTTTTGTTTTTGTTTTATACTGTACAAAGAGAAGATGCTCAGAGATAAAGTCACAATTAAAAGTTGAAATAGAAGATGGGCGCGAAGCGCCCTAAAAGCCTAGTTGTATTAGATTTTTCCTTGTCTGTGAAAAATCGAAGAAAATAAAATTTCATATTTAAAAATCTTCTCTTTCTATGAAATGTCCTATCTATGAAATTTCTTTCTATGAAATGTCTTTCTATCAAGTTTCCCAACGCCATGCACTGGTGCCCCAGGGGTGACATAGGCTAAACAAATTTCCAACTTTTTGGAATTTCAAGGGCAACGCCGACCACTTCAGATCTAAACTCATGATTTAATACCAAGTGCAGGTAAACGGCGGAAGTAATTATGATAGTTTAATACTACTAGCTAAAATGCCCGGCGCACAGTGCCTCAGAATAAGGAAAAAGGGGCAAAAACTCTTATTTTTTTATTTTATTTTTTTACTTTATCTTGATATTTTTAAGCATACTGAACAAGGTAAACCCATTTTATATGATATTGTATATTTTCACTCTTTTCGTGAGCCTGTTATATGCAGGTTGTATGCGGGCTTAGATTCACTATAAATTTTAGAGTTTTCATGTAGATCTAAAAATCGTCACAAAATGGTCATTATTCAATAAATTATCTTTAATTTTTTCAGTGAACATCATATGTATATATATATAATATCATCTGGTGAGTGACTGATATTGGACTTACATTGACGCCAAAAATTAATATTCGAATTTCACAAGTTGAGAAAAAATTATAAATTTCCAGAAAAAAATTCACAATATTTACTTCTTCTAAAAATGTCCTCACTAGTCCACCCTGAATTTTGATGGGTAAGTATCTTGAATATATACAGGAATGCCCGCCAAATGAAATCCGCCCCGAACTAGCACGTTTTTGAGGAAATGAATCTTGAAAGTTTCAAAGTCTGGGATTTTTCTGGGCATTTCTTACAGAAAAGTATATTGAGTTAGTGGGAAAAAACTTCAGAATTTTCAAATTTGATTCAATTTTAATGTATTTTGATCCAAAAAAGGTTGAAATCCATTTAGAAACATTGATTTTAGGGTTTTTGCTGTTTTTCATTAGCCTTGAGGCACTGTGCGGTGTAGCCCGTGAAATTTTTTAGCCTATGTTACTTCCGGAGTACTCAAGGGTTCCCTCAAAAAAAAATTCAGCCCATTCGGTCCAGTCGTTTGGCCAGCTACAGCTGGCATCTATCTATAAATTTGGCTCGTCTGTTTGTCTGTCTGTAGGAGGAGAGTTTAACAAAGAATTCTGCACTGTTATGAACAAGTAATTCTATTTGTTTGCAACAACTTATATTTAGGATCGCGTTCATTTTCGCGATTTTCAAACAAGTGGGCTAATGCAAAATCTATTGATAACCTACTATTCCGTCGTATAGGATATTTATTGTTTAGAAGGTCCAGGGCCCAAACACTCGATCCTTCGGAAGGTTAATCCAGGGTCTACACACCGATCTTGTCATTACAGAATTTAGCAACAAAACTCTCCTTGTTCTAACACAACTCAGGTAAATAAGAGATCTGAGATCAGAACTTGTGTTTTGTTAATCTCTGGATCGAAGCATTGTCTCCATCTTGAGGAGATCTACGGATATATTTGTTTAATATTGTATATCCTGTGATGATCGTAAACTAAAATTAAATGAGATCAAGCATTTATCTTTAAATATTTTAAATTGTCACCAGGGTTTTTATTTTTTTTTAAATGTAAAGAAAAAGAACATTTTCACAATTTAATTAGAAGATGGGCGCGAAGCGCCCTAAAAGCCTAGTATATATATAAGTGAAGCATTATGTGTAAAATAAATATAAAATATAAGTAATATAAACCTGGCCAAGGCCGGGCACTCTAGCTAGTATTTATTAAATATGCAGTTGTTGACAGTGGAGCTAAAAATTAAAGTTAGGTTTTCTTTAATTAACCTAAAATGTTAAGGATTGGTCCGAGGAAAACTGATTTGTCGAGTATGGCCGATAGACTTCAATCAACCCAAACTTAGTCATTCAATTAGCAGTAGTTCATAACAAAGCAGCGTTGAATTTTGTTTTTTAAAGATAAAATCATATTTAGTGTGATGAAGTTCAATTTGGCAAACTTACTAACTCTGAAATTAAATCAATATTGACACTAAAGAAATAAAATTCTAAATCTAGTCTTCACTTATTTGTTACAAATGTCCTAAGGTTTTCCCTATATTTTACCTGAAATGTTTTCAGAGAATGTAAAATGTCTTCTTTATTAGAGGAGACACAATACCCGGTTCCACAAAGAAATACTGAAGTTAAGGTTGGTAAATATTTTTATTTTATTTCTATCATGTGGTTGATAAAATTCCATATCTGATCCCGATGGGATTGAGCTGGAAAATATACTTTGGAACAAATTATACCTTCTGTGTGATAGTGAAAATGTACTAAACGAATATATACTGCATTCGGGGTGTCAAATGGTGTAAATATTGTTAGTAAATATAATTGAAATACTTACATTTACATAAACCAAAAAATACATACACCCAATAAGGGGGGGATTTTCCAAGATATTGAACGCCTGAAATATGACATTGTTACAGTTAATGTCCAGATTAAGCACTGTAGATAAACACCATTTCACACATGGGTTCAGATTTTTTAACACCAAACAATCCATATTCCATATTCCGCTTCAGTACAAATAGGCTAGTTTTTTTATATTCTTCAGACCTGCAAAAAGACTCCTTGCTATTATAAGTAGATTTTTTGAAGAATGTTTAATTTGTATCTAGGAAACTAGGAACAGTTGTTGAGATATCTAAAGATACAGTTAGGAACGCTGTCGAGGGTTCAAGCGGAAGAAGCGTCTACACTGTAAATACTTTACTTGGTATGTTGGTAAACTAATTATAAATAAATGTTGACAAAGTGCATGTTCAGTTAAATATTGTATTAAAAATAACATTAAAAAAGATAAGTTAATTTTTCAAACTTTGTTCAATTGATCGATTGAAAGTTATTAAGAAATAAATCGCCCTAGAGAATTTTATAAACTTGCTTTCCCTAATTTTAGTTTTTTAGATTTCTTTTTTTATTTCTAAAAATTTTAAATTGTTTATTTAGATATAAACACTCTAAATAATCTCTCCGGCTGACAATAATCTTTGAAATAGAAAATTCATGAACAATTTTGGAAAATAAAATAACTTTTTGATACTACAGGATAATTTATTCTTGGTAAATTATTAAACATCCATGACTATGACAAAAAATATCTTCAAATTCTGATAAATTGGCATTTTTCTCCGGCTACAGTTATCTTTGGAAAATAAGACTAATACAAATGAATAGCTGAAAAGTCATTTAGTTTAACCCTAAAAATACCCAAATAAGTGAACGGTCCCTTTAATTTTGAATATTGGCAGGTGCTGAAAGTGAAGAAATCCTATTGTTTTCTCGAATACTGGCCGAGCAGCTGAAGCTAACTAAACCGGTTTTACTCACCCTAGCGGTCAAACAGCTGGATCACGACAAAACAAGGAACATTTTCTAACCACCGATAAAAATTCGTATTTTTTAATTATTACAAAAATCGTCCTTTTTTACATTAAAATAAAGAGTTACTTTATATTATTATATTAAGTTCATCCCACGAACTTCACAAACTTCTATTGTATACAAATCTTTTGAATAGTTTTTGGTTTATATTTTCATAAAATCTATAGAACTATCAATCAAATAAGAATACTGAAAGATCAAGTTTTTACTGAAGTATACAGCTGGTTAGAATATTTTGTTTAGAGAATTGGTGAAGTTTGTTGTTGAAAAGTTTAACAACTAAAATTGTTAAGCATGGATCAAACAAGATTTGGACAAATTGTTATAGGAATCATTTTAATTTTATGAAAACTTATTTAACAAATTTTCAACTATTCAGTCATTGCTTTTTATAATGACTTACCAAAAGATGAAATAAAAAAAATTATATATTTTTACTAAAAAAATAACAGCAAAAATATTTTTTCAGAAGAAACACATTTTAATTACAGATTATTACTTAGTCTGGGGTTTTTCCTACCTTTGTTTTATTTGCATTGATTAACTTTCATTAATTACATTTTCAGCATACATTGTTAACGCTGCAGTACACATTTGGTGTTATCACATAAACAAAATGATAAATAAGCAATATTCCCAGAGGATAAAATGCCATGCTTGAAGAATAGATTGTACTGCTGCTACGCAACCACTTACAATATTTCAAAATTATACGTCTGCCTCATATCCATTATTCATATCAAATCATCGGTGATACTTCCTTAAATTGATCAAATTTGATTGATTAATTAGGCCCCCCTGGCTCTGGTAAAACTACCTATGTCGGTAGTATGGCGGAACTATTACGAAACCTTGGAAGAAAAGTTGCAATTATTAATTTAGGTAAATGCTTTTCTCGTAATAAAACCAAATTCTGGGAAGATACTTTATCTTCTTACTATTCACACTGCTGAAAAGGGACCATCAGGTTTAAAATCAAAACGCCTAACTATGCAGTCTAGTGAATTATAATCTCAATTTCAGGAAATGCCATCGAAGGAATTTTGAGTAAATTAATTTTTAAGATATTGTAGAAATCAAGTGCATTTTCAGGTCTAAAAACAAACGTTAAATATATTTTTCAAGACTTGATTAAGTTGATTCTGTTTTTTTGCGATATTTTATTCACTGTCTCTAAATTTTGTGAACAATCTTAAAACATGTTTTAGTAAAAATCAAAGCCACAAGTGAACTCGGTTTAAGTACTGCTTTAAAAAGGGTTTTTTAAATGAAATCCTTAAAAGACTTTTTCAGGCCGTATCTAGTCAGTCAGGCAGTTGATTTAGGGCTTTGTTTTTTTACTACAATATGTCTTATGACTGTTAACAAAAAGTGACATAGGACCCTGCCATTAACAGTTAAAAAAATATCGCAAAAAAACCAGAAGAAGCTTAGTAAAGTCTTTACACGAAATTTACGTTTGTTTTTAAACTTGTAAATTAACTTGATTTCTGGATTTGGGGAAAATTCCCTAGGTGGCATTTTCTGAAAATTGAGATTATAATTCAGTAGACTCCATATTAACATATTCTGAAGAAAGATGTCTAGGAGTTTTGACTTGTAACCTGATGGACCATTTTCAGCAGTGTGTATATCAACTGCATTTATGGGTTTTTTAAAATATTACTTGTTTATTATAGATCCAAATAGAAAATAACTTTTGCTTTTAAAAATAAAAGAAAAAGGTTTAAAAAAGAATTTAAGAAAAATCAGTATTCTTTTTTAGTCATAGATCAAGACTAGTAAAACCCCTTGTGTTGTAAATTAGCTAGTTGAAAAATAACTAATAGCTTGCTTTAATGATATTAAGTTTCTTAAACAATAAGAAACCAGTCTGCTCTACAATAGCGATTAAATAATCAGTTTTCTGTATTTTTTATATCATTAAGAACTCTTTAACCTGTAATTATCAAAACGAAGTAAGTCTCAAAATATTTACATATTTATGAAAAGATCAATTATAGATCCGGCGAATGAGAATGTAGAATACAAAGCAGATATCGACATATCAGACCTTATTCAATTAGAGGAGGTAATCATTATCAGGAATTGCTGAACAAATTTCATGATGGGTTAAGTTTGTAAAATCGATATTTCTTTTGATTCTTCCCTAAAAGTTTTATTCTCATTTACAGGTTGAACGTTTTACCCTAAAATATTTGAAAATGGAAATAGGGCTGATCAAAAAATTATGTTAATGGGACTGTGAGTGTAATTTCAAGTGACCCTTCTTGCAAAGATGACAATGCCCGATTCACAATGGTACCCTTGAAAACTTTATTTGATAATAATGAGGAAGATATTGTCATTTTTCTAGGTGTTTTATTTTTGATAATTTCTAAACGTTTTCCTGTAGTTACAAAGCGCAATTTTCTTCAGGTGAGAAAACACAATTGAAAAAAATCAGCTTTCAATATTATAAACATTGATATAGCTAATTCACATTTGATAAGCCAACCTTTTAAGGGTAGTTAGGATACCGTTGTGAATTGGGCACTGCCATCTTTGAAATAAAGAGTTCCTTGAAATTACGTTTACAGTCCTATTATCTACCATTGTTTTTATGCTACCTAGGTTATGGATAGTGTAAAACTGGGACCCAATGGAGGGCTGATTTATTGTATGGAGTTCTTGAGGGAAAACTTCAGGTTTCAATAGAATTGTGCATTTATTTAAATATTATTTATTTATAAATTTTATTGTCTTTTGGCCAACATTACCTACCATGATTACCCCAACAACGTTAAGTTACTTAAAGTTTCTTTGGACAGGTATGTAAAATAACCACCCGTGAAAAAATTCGCGCATTTTCATCTCTAAAGACGATAAAATTGTGACTCGATCTATTTTGCCTACAAAACATCCCTCTTGCGCTCTTTATGTTTTGTATGCAAAATTGGTCTTGAGAACCATTGGTTAAGTAAAATTCCCAAATCTTCCCTGTGAAGTAGTTGTAAATAAATATAATGTAATATTTTTTTTTGTTAAGTTGGTTGATGGATCGAATAGAACAATTGGCTTCAAATTCCTACCTTCTGATTGACTGTCCGGGACAAGTTGAACTTTTCACAACAAATACTGCAGTACGGTACGTATATACAACAAATACTGCAGTACTGTATATTTTCGCAACAAATACTGCATGCAGTATGGTAAATTTTCACAACAAATACTGCAGTACGGTGCGTTTTCACGACAAATACTGCAGTACGCCTCGTTTTCAAAACAAATACTGCAGTACGGTACGTTTTCACAACAAATATTGCAGTACGGTATGTTTTAACAACAAAAACTGCAGTACGTTGCGTTTTCTTAACAAATACTGCAGTACGCCACGTTTTCAAAACAAATACTGCAGTATGGTACGTTCTCAAAACTAATACTGGTGTGCGGTACGTTTTCACAAGAAATACTGGAGTGCGGTACGTTTTAGCAACCAATACTGCAGTACGGTACGTTTTAGCAACAAATATTACAGTACTCCATAAATAATTGTTGGTGAAAATCAATGAATTTTTGGTCAAAAAGTATTAACAAGGGTGACATTTGTCTTTTGATGTCAAATTTTTCATTTCATTTCCTTCATATTTCTTGAAATGTGTAAATTAGAATTCTTAATTTTTTTACAATTACGACAAAATGGTACGTTTTGACAGAAGATATTGCTGTACGTTTCAGTTAGCTGCTGTACTTTATATTTTATGTACAGGGATATTATTGGAAGACTTGTAAAGAAGGATGTACAATTCGCTGTGCTGTACAAACTTAATGTTTACTGTACAGGGATATCATTGGAAGACTTGTGAAGAAGGATGTACAGTTCGCTGTGCTGTACAAACTTAATGTTTACTGTACAGGGATATCAATGGAAGACTTGTAAAGAAGGATGTACAGTTCGCTGTGCTGTACAAACTTAATGTTTACTGTACAGGGATATCATTGGAAGACTTGTGAAGAAGGATGTACGGTTAGCTGCTGTACATCTGGTGGATGCACACTACTGCTCAGACCCCGGCAAATTTATCTCAGGAACTTTTTTAAATAGATAAAAATTCAATTTCTCTTTAGTTCTTTCATAATTTAATGATTAATTTGCTCATTGGTTTATTAATCCATAGATCTATAGAGCATAGTGTATTAGATCAATTAATTGATGATTTGTCGGTACAATTATTGATAAAACAATTTGCTTCAACCAATTCATATAATATTTGCATTTTTTATTTTTTTATTATTAGAATGCAGAAATTGTTCTTTTTTAACTTTATTGTACAAGACGTTAGGTTTAAACTATGTCAGGCTGAAAAGCCTTCACCTATAAGGGATTGTGATGGCATACCCCTTGTAGGTCAAGGAGCTGTTGGACACTTCCCTAGCTGTATGATATGATATGATATAGTTCTAGATCTTGTTCTCTAGGTTCTAGATCTTGTTCTTTATGTTCTAGATCTTGTTCTCTAGGTTCTAGATCTTGTTCTCTAGGTTCTAGATCTTGTTCTCTAGGTTCTAGATCTTTTTCTCTAGGTTCTAGAAATTGTTCTCAAGTTTCTATATCTTGTTATTTATGTTCTAGATCTTGTTCTCTAGGTTCTAGATCTTGTTCTCTAGGTTATAGATCTTTTTCTCTAGGTTATAGATCTTTTTCTCTAGGTTCTAGATCTTGTTCTCTAGGTTCTAGATTTTGTTCTCTAGGTTCTAGATCTTGTTCTCTAGGTTCTAGATCTTGAGTATCTGCTGGATTGTATTCCTGAGGATAATTTCACCAAGAAGTATCGAGCTCTGAACCATGCAATGGTGGGACTTATCTCGGATTACAGGTAAAAATAATTAACAAATTTGTTCAAAGAATTTATTTAAATCTGTACATTCAGCCGTACCTTTCATTCCCGACAGTTCAGCCTAAGACGCTAATTATCTCTTAAATCATTTAAATTTTCACCTTCTAATTAGTTAATTAACCCTTTTTATATTTTTAGCCTAGTAAACTATGTTCCAGTAACAGTTAAGAGTAAGGAAAGAATGCTCGCAGCTTCAAATCTTGTGGATAAAGCAAATGGGTAATTTAAAGTTAAAATTATACTCGAGCTAATTTTGCCCTCAAAGGCATTTTTAATGCGGAAACTTAAGCTGCACTTAAAAAATGCATCTGGGCTAATAATGAAAAGATCTTAATAACTTTGCATTGTAATTTTCTTTACTTTTACGTTCAATCCCTGCAGATTGTGAAGATTTGAAGGATTATGGTACAATTAGTAAATTTTAAAAAGGGAAAGATGGTTTTTCAAATTAATCAAGTAAATCAAAACTCTTTTTTATGTCTTATGTCAATTTAGATTTTCAACTTGTGGGAGATAAGGGTTATTAGTTTTGTAAAATATTTGTCAAGAAAAAATAAGTTTTGAGTTGGTTCTAACTTTAACTCCCCCCAACCCCAAAAAAGATTTCTTTTGTACAGCATTGTTGATTTTAAACTGGGCACCCTAAGAATAAATCCAAGGAACGATTAAAAGTAATTATTAAAAAATATTAAATGATTATTAAGATACGTGTTTGGAACTGGAGAGGAGAGGAATCTGAAGAACCTGATGGGATCTGCTCTAGGAGGAGCGGACTTCGAGTGGGCTAAAACAGGAGATATTAGGTCAGCAGTGATGGACAAAGTTTGATACGGATGATATTTGTATGCCTAAACCATTCTAAACCAAAATATTATTTTTATAATATTTAAGACTAAAGATCTTTCATTGAATGATATTCAGCATGGGCAAAGTTCCGATAACGAACGGATAAGACCATTAAGTTACTTGATGGGTCAATTCTTAAGGTTGATTTAACTAACCGTTAACGAATGGATTGATAAACATTCTGACTTGCCCAGCTCTACCCTTTAATTATTATTTCGAGGCTACACAAAGGAAAATTTAATTAACTGCCAACGTACCTGAGAATCACTAAATAGTTTTAAAACAAATATGTTTGTTCAAAAATCTATCCAGAGATCGGAATTAATTAACAGCGAGAAGAAGTTGAGCTAGTTTCCTTAATGGTCGATAATCCACTAGAGAAGTCGTTAAACTATTCGTACCTTTATTTTTCCCCCGGTGTTAATCCTACCTCAATTTTTTAATAAAAGATTTCCTTTGTTACAGGACTGAATACATGGAGGATGAAAATATGGGGAATGATCTTGATAAAGTTGATATAGATCCTCAGTTTCAAGTTTAATCATTCAAGTTACTATACAGATCCGCAGTTCCAAGTTTATACTTCAAGATACCATACAGATTACAGATCCGCAGACTCGAGTTTGATCCTTCAAATTAACAGACAGAACCTTTTAAGTTTGATCCTTCAAGTTACCATAAAGATCCGCAGTTCCAAGTGTAATCCTTCAAGATACAACACTGATCCGCTGTTCCTAGTTTAATCCTTCAGAATAAAACACAGAACTATATTTTCAAGTTCAATCCTTTCACAGGTTAAATCGAATATTAGACGATCGAAAAAGGATTTTAATAGATATTAATATGTATTTAATTTTACTTCCATATACCCAAAATCGCAAGTGTTCTAAGTCCGTCATGACATATTTTTTTCAGACAAAATGGCGAAGGGTAACGTTGAGTTGCTCGACGTGCCGACAGAGGAATCTGATCTGATGAAGATTACTCCATTGGGTTCTGGACAGGAGGTTGGCCGGTCCTGTCATATTGTTCAGTTTAAGGTAAACAAATAAATTCTCAGGAATTATCCAAAAGTACATATTGACACTGTTCCCTTGAATTCACTATTCTCACTGTACCTTACACTTGAATTCTATCCGAAAGAAAACTAATTCGATTGATAAATATTTATCTCAAAAAACATAATTCACAATTACAGGCGAGCCGTTTCAATGCGGACAGCCGGCATTGCTTTATTTCGTAAACTTGTTAAAAAGGATAGAAAACTCAAACTATATTCATAATAAATGTCAGGATAAGAAGATAATGTTGGATTGTGGAATTCATCCTGGTTTATCAGGGATGGATGCTCTTCCCTTCGTTGATATGATTGAGGCAGATCAGGTATTTAGGATTCAGGGGGAGGTTAAGTTACTTGGGACAATAACGTAAAATAACGACACGCTCTGTGAAGTTTTCTTGAAATAATTTGCGCATTTTCATCTATAAAGACGATAAAATCGTGTACAAACAACTAACTACTTTTTCGGAAAATTAAAAATTTTACTGAACCACGGGTTCCCTTGACAAAACATCCCTTGCTGCGCTCTGGATGTTTTGAAGGCAAGATTGGTCTTGGGAACCCTTGGTAAAGTAAAATTCCCTTAGCTTCCCTGGAAAGTAAATAATTAATAATATTTTTATAATAAATTTAATATTTTAATGATCAGTTTAAAATCCCCGAAAACATTTCTAGGTTGACCTGCTTCTTATATCTCATTTTCACCTGGATCACGCCGGTGCACTTCCCTGGTTTCTCCAGAAGACGACATTTAGAGGAAAGTGCTTTATGACGCATGCAACAAAGGTATTTATTTCAATTTTGACCAAATGAAATCTGAGCTATAGTTTAATTTTTTCTTGGGCTGAGGTATAAATTTATTTTGTCAAGGGATTTATCGCTGAACTCTAGCTGGTATTTACCTATTTCAATTTTCTATTAAATTAACTTTAAAATCTCCAATTATTTGCTGCATAGGCCATCTTCTTCTGGTTGTTGTCGGACTACATTAAAGTGTCTAATATCTCGACAGACCAGATGTTGTATACCGAGGCAGACCTCGAGGCTTCCATGGACAAGATTCAGACAATTAACTTCCATGAGGAGAAGGAGGTAATCAGGAATCTATATCTACATATATAAAGTTGTAATCTCTGTTTGTCTTTGGGATTTGCTATAAATTTGGATTGGGATACTCGTGAGACCCACGGGAACGATCTTAGCTTGGTTTTAGGATTCTAATAGCAAATAATAGCAAAAAATTAGTTTCCCGGTAAAATCGTTCAATTGCGGGTAAACGGCGGGAGTAACAAAGAGTAACCTGGGCAGCGCTGGGTTTCCTAGCTAGTATATATAATGTTGTAATTTGTGTTTGTTTGTATGGCTCTTATTTGGAAAATTGATGCAAAAAAACTTTGTTTTTCTGACGATTAAATAATTTTAGGATTTTTCGCAGTGATTGACAATTTTTCTTTACTCTTTCATGCTTTACTACTTTTGTTTTTAGGTTAATGGAATTAAGTTTTGGTGTTACAATGCCGGCCATGTTTTGGGAGCAGCTATGTTCATGTTAGAGATTGCAGGAGTTAAAATCCTATATACAGGTATACAATCCTCTTATTCATGTTCATGTCAGAGATTGCAGGAGTTAAAATCCTATATACAGGTATACTATCCTCTTATTCATGTCCATGTCCTAGATTAAAGGATTAAATTCCTTTTCACGTGTAACTCAAATTTGAAAATTTGAAGCAGATGGCAAATCCCCACACATTTGATTTAATTTAAGTATTCATTATTTTAGTACATAGCTATAGAACTATTGCAGTATAGTTTAAAAAATTGATAATATATTACAAACATTACTGTGTTTGAATTAAATACAATTATTCCTCCCTCTAAACGATTTTATCTATTTGTTTCAGGAGATTTCTCAAGAGAAGAAGATCGACATTTAATGTCAGCTGAGATTCCATCCATTCGGCCTGATGTTCTTATAGGCATAGTTTATACATATTGTTCATTCCGTTCATCTTGTTCATCTTGTTATCTTGTTCATCTTGTTCATCTTGTTTATCTTTTTAATGCATAAGTTTGATTAATTGATTGCTTATTTTTGATATGTATGAACTGTAGTGGAGAGTACGTACGGAACCCATATTCATGAGAAGCGTGAGGATCGAGAGAATAGGTTTACACAAACTGTTGCAGACACTGTTCAAAGGAATTCGTCATTTTATTCATTTATTTTTCAGATTGCTTTACATGATTTTACAGGAGTATATTCTACTTATAATCTGGAGGTTTGAAGAATACATCTAGTTTTACACGAACCCTTGCATTCCAAAAATCCAAATAAAATTTATTTTCTTGAAATCAACTCATATCAAATATGATATTTGTCATAAAATATTATTATGCGTAGGAAGAAAGTGTAATAATCAAAATTATTGTTATAATATTAAAAAGAAAAACCGTGGAATAATTTTGATAAATAAGGCTTGAATGATCAAGGGATCAATTTATTAAGTGATCAATTTAATATATTAACTGGTTGGCTAATTAAACTAATTTATTTTAAGCTTGATTTATTGATCAAATAACAGATTATTAAGTGATAATTAATTTAAAAGTTGAATGATTGATTAAATAAAGTATTAAATGATACCATATTGAATTGAATTTGAATTAATTCAAATAATTGATTGATTGTTGAAGAGGAGGACGGTGTCTGATTCCTGTATTTGCTCTGGGACGAGCTCAGGAGCTTCTCCTCATCCTAGACGAGTAAGTTTAGCTACACTTATATTATATATAGTCCTTTAAGAATTTTTTTAGTAATTGGCGATTTATAAAATTTGCCTGAATTATTTTTTAGACCCAAAACTAGGTGTTAAATTTGAAGATCTTTGTATTGAAAATTTATTTTATGATTTAATCAAAACTTGTGATACTGATTTATCCACTGTTTGTTAAATTGCATGTTATGTTCAGTTTTCTCAAAGTTAGATTAAATAAACAAAATATTATACTTTTTCCGGTAAAAATTTCTAGTGCTTATATTAATTAATGGACTCGTTGATTGATTGATCGATTGATTGATTGATAGATAGATTGATTGATTGATTGATTGATTGATTGATTGATCGATAGATTGGTAGAAAGATTGATTGATTGGTTGATTATTAATTGATTTATCAGATATTGGGCTGCTCACCCTGAGCTACATGATATACCAATCTACTACGCCTCTTCACTAGCCAAGAAATGTATGGCTGTATACCAGGTCCCTTTGAACTTCATAAAAATATAAATTTTTTGTTCAATGTTTTTTAAATATTTTTTGTATTTAGACTTTTATCAACTCTATGAATGAGAAGATCAGACGACAGATTGCTGTCAACAATCCATTTGTTTTCAAACATATCTCAAATCTGAAAGGTCAGTTCTAAACGTGTCACTCATATATTTATCCTGAGCAGTCATATTACGTCAAAGTGAAGTGTACAGATCTGTATCCCCACTGTCCCAATATTCTATAAGATTTGATGTCTTTTTAGACATTCCTTTAAATAATAATAATAAAAATCTGATATCATAAATGCTATTTTTTATTAAATGCATCTAAAATTTTAACCATAAACTCTTTAGCCAATCCGTTCGTAAAACATCTTATTGATTAATCATCATAATAAACGATACTTAAATATGTTAAATAAATTGTTAACGGTTAATATAAATTAATTTTCATCAAACATATCAATTAATTTGTTTCTTTAGCATTTCTAATACCTAAATTCCAGTTTATGTTACTTTTTCCTGAAAAAGATTTTTGCAAATAGAAAAAAGAATTGAGAAATATATGGCTTTGTTGGGTTCACTGTGTACAGTTTATTTTGCAATAAACATCACTGTATCACCAGGGGCGTATTCGGGGGGGGGGCTATGAGGGCTAAGCCCCCCCCTGGACCAGTGAAATCTATTGATTTCAGGGGGTTTTTAGGCCCCAACGGGTGCTGAGCCTGGAAAGATAAAAATTTAAGCAACCCCACCTGGACAAATTCCTGAATACGCCCCTGTGTATCACTGTAGAAAAAATATCGGAATGTACACAAAGAGCCAATGCACTTCTGGGATGGTTCCTTGTGTAATGTGTAGTGTGCTTTAGAGAAGATTTAAGAAAATATTTACCTTTTCGTTGTTAATTTCTCATTAAGGGATTGATCATTTTGATGATATTGGTCCATGTGTTATCCTCGCTAGTCCTGGCATGATGCAGAGTGGACTCTCAAGGTAACTAGTTCTTATGTTCTGTAAATATGGAAGGGGCGCAGATATCTCCGAAAATTCAAGTGATTTACAGTATTGAAGCTGATTTGCCCGGCGTTGCTCATGGAATTAAAAAAATCGAATTTCAAAAGAAAAATATTTCGGATTTTAAAGGAGAAAAATAAATTTTCGTTAGTCTATATGTTACCCCCCTGGGTACCCATGGGTTTCTTTAAAAAATTCAGCTGATTTGGTCCAGCCGTTTGGCCAGCTATGGCTAACATATAAATATACATCATCATATATACACATAACATATAGTACATATATGAGCGAAGAGCTTTATTATAAAGAAGATACTTTTAAGTTAAGAAAAAAAAAATCATATCTTAAACCAACGAAGTCATGATTGTTTGCTCTAATTCAATTTCTAGTTGACTTTTTGCTTGTTTGATTAATTTATTGATCAAGTGTCAAATAAATGTTTCTGTCTAGAGAGCTGTTTGAATCATGGTGCACTGATAAGAAGAATGGATGTATAGTTGCTGGATACTGTGTTGAGGTCCGTTATCATCAAATCTAGAATTTTAGGGGGAACTCTTTTCAAACCTTTTATATTTTCTTCCAATTTTCATTATTCTTTTTTATAAATACTTGGATCTTAAGTTTTTAAAATTTGACTTATTTCTCAATTTAAAGATTGTCTTAATTTGTGAACAAATGCTTCGTGTCACAGGAACTGTAGTTAACTTTTGAAAAATCGAATAGTAGATGGGTCAATCTCCAAAACAATCGAACGACAGATGTCAAAGATTTACCAGAATTTGATTCGTAAGACTTTAAAAGGACTGTAAGCATAATTTCAAGTGACCCTCAATGCGAAGATGGAAATGTTTGATTCACAAATAACGGCAGCTTTAAAATCTTTATCTGATCTTCAATGAATTAGATATCAATGTTTATAAATTAAAAAATTGATTATTTTTAAGTGTGGTTTCTCTACAAAAGTAACATGCGCATTTCTACTGCAGGAAAATGTATGGAAATTATCGGATGTATACACTTTTCAAACGAGAGAAACGACAATATCTTCCACATTATTGATCAGATAGATGTTTCAGGGGGTATCGTTGTGAATCGGGCATTGCCATCTTTGCATGGAGGGTCACTTAAAATAATGCTTACAGTACCTTTAAGTCTCAAATGATTCCAGAATAAAATCTCCGTCGATCCATGTTTCGAAGGGATATTCTTTATACTCATAAATCATGAGGGGAATTGATTTATTTTTTTATTATTCTCTCCCTTCTCAAAATGAGTTTCTCAGTCAGATTAAGGTTTTCATCCTAAATCCGAAATGGTTCATAATAATCGTATTTCAGGGAACTCTGGCTAAGCAGATATTGGCTGAACCTGAAGAAATCACAGCAATGAACGGTCAACGTTTACCACTGAGAATGCAGGTATAATCCTTAAGAAAAGTTATTTTTCCGTTTTAACTGTAATAATGCTAAGTTTCTGGGGAAATTTTTGAAATATTTTTTCTCCCCGTTGAAATAAAAAGCTGCCCTGTATGCGCTATTTAAATAAAAAGTAGATAGTCCTCATTCCATAAAATGTAAATAGTTAAATATCGATTTTTCAAGCGCTATACTTTTTAAAATTTTTTTTTAACTCCTTCAAATATTTTCTGTATTTGCAGGTTGATTATATTTCCTTCTCAGCTCACACGGATTATAAACAAACCTCAGGATTCATCAGACAACTTAAACCTCCACACGTAAGTCTCGTCATCCTAGTGATTTTATCATTATAAAAATGTATTCACACATAAAAATATACAATACATACATATATAAAGGGTGTAGTTAACATTGTTGATGTTGTTGATAGTTTTACAAATTTTGCAAAATTACGCAAAAATCTAATGTCTATCATTTCAGCAATTAGTTTAGTCTGAAATCCTTCAGCAAATAAATGGTCCTTTACCATATAGATTGTTCAATATTGTATTTAACTACACCTACACTAATTAATCTATTAAACAACAATATCCGAAATATATTTGTAATTATTACCGAGATGGACTAGCCCAGGCGACTGTTAGTGTGCAGTGGGGAGGGGGCTTCGGTCACTGGCCTGGACCCTGATGTTACGATTCACACTAGACTTGTGTCATAATCCAATATTTCACTAATATTTCTGAAGGGGTCTTGGCCTTGATTTCCACGGAATGATGGTTGATCTTTTATTTATTTATTTATTTTATTAAATAAATCTCCACATCTAAAGTTGTCTTAAGTTTTAAATGGATTGGCGACGCTCCATTAATGAGAAATCCAAGTTTTCCTACTGAAAATTTAATTACTTAAAAGTGTTGTTTATCTTTTAAAGTGACTTACGACTTCTTAAAAGACGATAAAGAAAATTGTCTGATTTATTCATAGAAAAGAGCGAAATCTTCCATATTAATACTCAGAAAGAGGTTTAACGTAACCATTGTGAATCAGACATGAAGTGAAGAGTTAATTGAAATGTCAACAGTCCCTTTAATGATATACCTGTCTAGGTTGTATTAGTACATGGAGAAGCTAATGAGATGAGCAGGCTGAAGGCTGCACTGGTCAGGGAGTACGAGGCAGATCCTACACACAACATAGAGATTCATAATCCTAGGAATACGGTAGGATTCTACACACAACATAAGAGATTAATAATCCTAGTAATACGGTAGGATCCTACACACAACGTAGATATTCATAATCCTAGGAATACGGTAGGATCCTACACACAACATAGAGATTCATAATCCTAGGAATACGGTAGGATCCTACACACAACATAGAGATTCATAATCCTAGGAATACGGTAGGATCCTACACACAACATAGAGATTCATAATCCTAGGAATACGGGAGGATCCTACACACAACATAGACTGATTATTCATAATCCTAGGAATACGGTAGGATCCTACACACAACATAGAGATTCATAATCCTAGGAATACGGGAGGATCCTACACACAACATAGACTGATTTTATAATCCTAGGAATACGGTAGGACCCTACACACAAATTAGAGATTCATAATCCTAGGAATACGGTAGGATCCTACACACAACAAACAGCTTTGGCGGAGAAATATTAAAAAGGGGGGCATTTTTTAAGAGGGATGGAATAATTTAATAATAACAAAAAAGCAAATTTTCCTAGATGAAAAGCTTTAGGTTAAACTTGCTACTTCAAAATGACCTTTAAAATCGTCCCTGTGAAAATGTTTGTTAAATTTGAAATATTGTAGGTGAGCGTAGAGCTGTATTTCCGTGGAGAGAAGATGGCTAAGGTGATGGGATCTTTAGCTATGCAGAAACCTCAGGAGGGTGTTAGGGTAGGCATATTTGGAATCAGGGGTGTATATTTTTTTAGAATTCTGGGTGGGGGGAATGAAAAATTGGACATCAAAAGAGGGGCGTATAAAAAATGATTTTTTAGAAAATATACACCTCTGTTTTGGATACCTTGTATTCTGCAGGGGTCTTGATTGAATTCACCCCCCCCCCCCCCTTACTTGGAAAAGATTATGAATTTCGAAGATTTTAAGGGAACAATGGAAACTGGCAAGAATTTTCTCTCTTTTCATAAAATTACTTTATAAATATCTGAGGGAAAAAAGAATTTTAAAGGGGGGGGGTGAGAAATGAATGTTCTGTATATTTCTTGCTTAATGTTAGAATCTTCCGATAGCGAGTTTATTTTTTTTTAAATTTTTTCTATTTGAACTGATTAAAACAAATAATAGGAAAATGTTGTTAAACGACTAGCTGACAGTTTGTTTCCTAGGTGTCAGGTATACTGGTTAAAAGAAACTTTAACTACCATATCTTATCACCGGCTGATTTACCAAAATATACAGATCTCACCATGTCTACTGTGACACAGGTATGTTTAGTGTTTACGGACGCTTTATAAGATAGAGGGTTGATTTGAAAAGTTGGGCTTTTACTTGATGAGATTGGGATAAATTATTGGTTTCGATTTGATTTTATATAAGCCTTTTTAACGCCTTCCTTTTTTGTAGAGACAATCAATTTTCTACAGTGGTAGTCTACCAATGCTTCAGTATCTACTGGTACAGCTGACAGGAGAACTAGAAACTGTGGACGGGGAAAAAACTGAAAGAAAACAGGTTTGTTTGATATTTAATACTTAAAGTCTTTCCAAGTATTTTGGGCCGCTTTGTCAATGGATGGACTTCGATGGCTGGGAGTGTATTTTGAACGATGGGTTGTCTTTTCATAAAAAATAATAATGATAAGGAAACCAATTGAAAAATATATCTTTCTACTAGAAGGGTGAATTTGAGGTTTAAAAACTACCTGCAAACCGACAGACCAAAAAAGGCCAATGGCTCTATGTATATTTTCGTTTCAGTTCGTATATTTCGTACCAAATGAAGTGCCGAGATCTTTAGTGCATGTATTTTTTCCAATAAATGCATATAACCTTTTGTTTTTATTTGTTCAGATATTTCGGGCGTTTGGTTCCATTGATATAATTGTTGAACCAAAGATGATAACCCTGGAATGGATCGCCTCGCCATGTAATGACATGTTCGCTGACGCAGTTCTATCCGCAGTGCTACAGGTAAAAACCTTTTTAATGGTTATCAAAATCTTTGTTTCGATCCTTAGAATGCTTTTGAGAATTTTAATATTTGAAAATTATATTTGTTCCTTCTTCTTATAGAATTCACCTTCTTGTATTAGATCCAGAAACTTGGTTATAAATTCACCACTTTTATCCAAACATGAATTATGCATGGCCAATTTTCTAAGAATGCTATGTTTCTTTTTGTTTTTGTATTAAAAAAACCTCAGTCTGGGAAACCCTTGGTAAAGTAGAATTGAAAAAAAGTTTTAATTAGGTATTATTGACTTCAAGATATCTGACCGTATTTTTGGAAAATTGGACAAAAAACCGTTGGTGTCAATTCACTGGCTATTTTGTCCTTACAAAATTATAATGTTTTTAAATAAATAAATATAAATAGGCTGAGTCTATGGAGTGTCCTAACTACCTCCCTCCCCCGGCCAAGGTGGATAAGATGCACTTCAAGGAGTGTCTCATTGAACTCTTACAGGTTTTTTACTTTTAACTTACATTTTAACTACTATCAAATAGTGAATATTTTAAAATGAGAAATTACGGGGTTACGCAACAAAGAATGACACTTAACGACTCCATGCAGATTTATTTTAGTCCTAATTCTTAAATTATATTCTTGCTACAGTTCTATAGTAATAACCAGTAAATCCTCTAGACTGATGCTGTTGGGGACTAAAATCTGAATTCCCCCCTCCTGTATACGCCCAATAGCTCGGGTATAATCATATTAAAGTTTGATTATTTTTTCTAGGATATGTTTGGAGAAGAGAGTGTTCCTAAACTTCTTCATGGAGATAAAATATACGTGTCTGTAGACAACAAGAAAGCATTTATAGATCTTACACAGTTTAAGGTAAAAAAATAAATATTTATTTACTATAAGCGAGGATTTACCAGTCAGAACTTACAAAGGAGGCGTTGCATCTATGACATTTTTCAATATCTCAAAAAATAATGGTGTTAGCCGGTTCTACTTTTGCATGTATACTCATCTGATGCTCTAGGAACAGGATATGACGTCAAATATTCAATGTCCCCGGGAAAGAAAAAGATTGTCAATTCCCCAATTGAGATTACTATAATATTTCTTTTTCATTCTTACTTTCACATAATTTCAGTTTGAAATCAGTTTTCCATCGGACTGGTTGCAAATGTCAAACAAGAGTTTTCGTAGAAATTTTAATTTTACATTTCTGATGTTCCTAGGTTTCCTGCGAAGAGGATTCTACATTTCAACAGATAGTCCAGACAGCAGTCTCTAAACTATACCAGTCTCTTGTACCTGCTAAGGGAACCTTGTAGGACACCCTTATCCTCCTACCTTCAGCATCAACTAATCAGTATAAAGTGCAGATTCACGAATTATAGTTTTAGGTTGATAAAAGAAACTGAAGATGCAATTTCAAGTGACCTGGGTAGCATGCCTAATTCAAGCATGCAACCTGACCCAGGTCGTTTTTTCTAGTACTAACGGCCTGTTAGTACTAGTTAACCAGGTTGGGTTGGGCCACTTATTTTTCTAAGGACAGGGGCGTACGAGAGCATTTGTTGCCCCCCTCTTGGCAACATTGTCCCCCCCCCCCTATGACACTTATTAAATGAAACGGTCACTTCAATTACGTCATCAGTCCCTTTAATTCATCTGATTAAAGACGTAAGACATGACCTTGTTTTAAAGGTTACTTGATAATTTTCCATGGTTTCTTTATTAATTGCGGATTTATGCAACTGAGAAATAAAGGAAATTATCAAACTTCAGCATGTTTTCAGATAGAAAACTGAAGAGTGACGATAGCTTTCTCATCAGTTTCTGGTATTGTTGTGAATCGGACATGACACTTATTAAATGAAACCCTCACTTCAATTACGTCATCAGTCCCTTTAATTCATGAATTGTAGCGCATGATTTCTTTAAACCGTTCTTAATTATCTTGTATCTCGGTAACTCTTACGCAGTTATAAATCCAATAAATGCCAAGGTAAAGGGTGTTGAAAAAAACAACAAGTGTTTGTTTGTTTTTTTAGTTTGTGTATGTAAGCGGATAAAGGATATAATCAAAAATGTTAAAGTTATCAAATACTTTATTCCACCTGTATGTTTTGCTCCCTATGCACAAATGAATAAAAGATCATGCCAGTTATGTACCTGTATTCTCGTTATTTTTTCAACCAAAATACAATGTTCACATAATAAAAGTTTTACTTGATATTTGAAATGGAAAATGTTCTACATATCGGTATCTGGAAGAGAGGAAGCAATCAGCAGAAGTAAAGATAGCAAGACTTCGTAACCCTTTGCCCCCCCCCCCTTGAGCCAGAGGTAGGCTCTAATTTATTAAACTTACATATCTATTCAGATTTTTTACTTTTCTTATTAATCGAAAATGTCACAATTTGTCTATTTTATGATATTTATCAAATTCTTTCTTGTACCATAATCTTAATTACAATATTTTTTTCGCTGGGTTGCATTCAAAATCCATTTCAGTTTCTCAGAGCAAGATGATTGACGCAGAGTTTTATTAAGCTTTAAAATAATACTATCTACAGTGGCGCAACTAGGGGGGGTGAACCGAGTTTCGACCGCCCCCTCAGCATATTTAGCCCCCCTCCCCCCTCACTTGGGTCCAGCATGATCATGATTGTGAATCATCTTTTATCAAATTTTGTCAATTGGGAAAAAACGCCCAAATTTTTCTTTGGCGCTTTGCGCACCATTTTTGAAAGAATTTCTAACTATTTTCTCGTTTCTGACTTAAAGAAAGTCAGTCTTAATTTATCCTCTAAAAAAACTGTATTTATGTTACTTCTCATGAGTATCACAATACATATACCATTTAAGGTTACACAAAACCTGACAATCTAAGTAGAATAACAATAAGAAATATGATAATGATTGTATTGGACTATCAGGACTTTTGAAGACTAAAAGAGGAAAACAGGGATAAGCCCTTACTGGGCAAATATGACTAGAAAACTAGCATTTCATAAAACTGCTGTAGACTGCAATAGGGGACTTAATATATACAAAGTGAATATGACTAAGCCAGGGACTCGGAGAAACCAAGAAATACATGAAAAGACACTAAAAGAACAGAAATTCTTTGGCGCTTCGCGCACATAATTACCTCACCCAGATCCAGGTTAAGGTTAACATCCTGTTGACAGTATACATTTTAAAGCTGTTTGAAGTATATTTTTTGAAAACACAAGAACAAGCCATCAATATTATAATGATTTGGTATATTATTGAGCACTGAGCCAACCATTCAACATGTAAAAAAAGCTGTTTTTACCTCAAATCAAAGTTTTTTCTCTTTTACTGCTAGATTTTACAATAATATGATTGGTAATTACGGTCAGGGTAGATTATTATAGATTGTTATTTTCCTAATACGGGTTTTATAATGGGGCTGCAGATCAACCGTTAGGGGGGTGCACAAAAAAAACTTCGGCGCGTTGACGCGCGCCATAAGTGCACCCCCCTAGGCTAAACCTCCACTACGCCCCTGGCTGTACAGTGTGCTCTAATTTGTACTGATGTTAGGGAGCTTAATTACACTAATCCAAAATAATTTTTCAAAAGTCAAATGAGAAAGTACAGAACTATGGCAAAAAATAAACAGATTCGTCGGTAGATAAAATGAAATGTTATTAAACTACTATCAAAAACGATTGTCCAATAGACAGCGATATGTTACAAATTTCGTTAAAAAGTCTAAAAAAAATAACTGGATAATTAATTCATTCCGATGGACGACCCTGACAGAAAACTAGTAAATGCAAAAGAAACAAATCTCTAGAACTGATTTACCCTGTTTTTTAAAGAAAAATTTATGTTTAATAAGCAAACAAGCATTGCTTATTCTTTTAAAATTATGAGAATTGGCGTCTTTTATCAATTTTTCTAGAAATTTATTTTTGTTAAGTATAAATACTCTACCTTCTTATGCAAGAACACAATAATAAAAGGGTGATCTTTCTAAGAACTTAATGTTTGTGTGCTCCTTTGATCCATAACCTACCAGATGAACTAGATTCTTATTAAAAGTAGAACTAGGACTTATACATACAGGGTACGGATGAAAAAAACGGGATTTGGTTTTTTTTTTATTTTAGAAGGGGTCGTTAGTACCATGTGTCGTCTGATTCTTTTATTTGGTGGAAAATATGTCGAATTTCAAAAATTTCTCTGTTCACTTCAGCTAACCAATATTGTTTCAAAAAAAACATTCATATACATATAAGATAATTCTTCTGAGGCTTTTTGAGAATAATAATATCTAATAAGTACACCTAAACTTTGAACTTTATGGTCAAAACCCTAAAAAGAGAGGTTACAGCAATCCCGGCCCTAAGATTGTGAACTGCTTGAACTGCTTTGATGGATCATAGAAATAGAGATGGGCATCATTCTTTTGAACAAGCAAAATTTTTCGTGAAATAGGGTGTCGTTCAGAAAAAAATGAACGATTTACAACCGAAATGGATCGTTCAGTGAAATAAAAAAAATTATTGTTAATAAACGAACCATTTAAAATCGCTGGAACGAACTTGAAAAAACGATAGTTTTTTTTACTGAACGAACAAATTTTCAAAAAGATTTGGAAAAAAACGATCGTTTTTATTGAACGAACGATTTTTTGGAACTCTTTAAAACCGACATTTTTTTAACTGAACAAGCGATTTTTGGAAAACCTAGTTTTTTTTCTAAACCAACGATTTTACAAAACGAACGATTTTATTGAACGAACGAAATAGATGGGAAATAAACGATAATTTTGATAACGAACTAAATCAATTTTTTTTGAATGATTGAAAAAAAAATAACGAAATGGGTAGTTCACGATTGATGAACGACCGAAATGAAAAAAAGTCGAATGTGTCCATCTCTATTTAGGAATAGGCCATTTTTGCATACAGAAAAGAAGTAATTTGAAATATAAACCTTAAAGTAATCAAATTATGTATTCATTAATATAAATTCTAAGCATTATTATTTTTCTGTGCAATTTGGATTTGAAAATAATAATACTATTTATTAATTGTCCCACTAGATCAACAGATATGTTTTCCAATATTCGACACAGTTTTCCGCCAAACTTAAGCATCGCACGACAAATAGTCACATTTACGACCTCTTCTAAAAAAAACTATATACTATAGAGTACTTTGTCGTGTACATTTAAAGAATATTAGGACTGAAAAACGCTAATCCACGTTTATTGGATCACCCTGTGTGTATACAGTAGTAACCCGTCTACATTCTACACTCTACAGGGACTAACAGGTCGATGATGAAGTTATATCTGAGGTCGTCTACAGTTAAGTAGAACCAGGGTTACCCACAAAGGAATAAGACTTCAGAGACGACTGTACAGAATTTATACTGTCTGTTGATCCTTATATTTATGGTTCCCTTAAGTTTCTTTCTTTGTTTAATCATTGAATAATTGCTATAGAAAGATTATATTCAAGGCAGAAGACGTATTTTAAAACTTAGTCTAGCTCATCCTTTCCGGATAACCCTACATTTACCTAAAAATTCTTACAATTCAAATATTTACTAAGATAATTCATGTTCGCATGTCTTATGAATTGGACAGGAATAAATAAATTTAGCTGATTTGATGAAGTCTGACTGATATATATGGATCAATACATATTTAAAGAATATTGTAAAATTTCAAATTTAAATAAATTATTAAAATTAAAATACTCGAGTCGAGCTTGCTCGTTACTTCATGCTTTTAGATGTTTTTACCTTATCCTAAAAATAATTTTCTGATTCGTGCAACTAAAAATGTTCCATGTAATACTATCATTCATTTTATAGTGTCTCTGTCTAACCTTTAACTCTAATAACAACATAATATCTATTCTGCAGCAGGCCAGTAATAGGGGGTCACACTTACTGAGACAAAAAAGGAGAAAATGAATAAAGAAAAATTAAGAAGGAAACGAAAAATTAAAGAAAGAAGGAGAAAATTGACATAAAATCAAATTTTTCTTTAAAGTAAAGAAAAATTAAGTGTTCTCTGAAATAAATTTTTTGTGAATTTTTATTTCTGTCCTGTCTTGCGAAATTATATGGTTTACATTAAATTTTATATTGAGAAGCTTATTCTTTTCCCTTTTTTACTTAGACTAATAAGACGAATGAACTGCATTGTAAAGCAAAAAGGAACATGGAAACAAATTTAAATTATATACAAAATATGGCCAGGTTTAGGAGAAGCTGTTTATACTCATCCTAAAGTTTAAAACTTACAAGGGAGGTTTTTTTTCAAATTTTAGTTTTTAGAAAACTGAAGATTTTCATTCTTGAGCTCTTTAGTAATACATTTGTTTAAAGTTTAACTCAAATCTATTCATCTTATATATACTCCAGTTTTCTTTTGTTTTGATTTAAATATATCTTCTCAATAGCACGAAGGAAAGAAAACAGGCAAAATGTCTATCTTTATAAACTATAATGTGAAGTTAAAAATCTAGTTTTTTAGTCTTTATTCTTTAATTTGACCTTTGTTAAGTTTTTAGGATTAAAAAAATGTTCGAATGCGGTGCGCCCCTTATTTATCTAGATCTATGCTATTTTTTTTTACTTTTGTGCCCCCTTCCTTTAAATATGTGTAGCTACGGGCCTGCTGATTATGAGTTTTATGATTATACTATTTCTCGTTCTACCATCTTGTTACAAAGAAAATTAATCAAATCAAATCAAATCTTTTATTAGGCCACAAATTATACAATGTACATACATATAAATGCTAATTGAAAATAACAGACAATTAAGAGTATATTGTGGCCGGGGAGCTACAAGATAGCTCAGGCTGTTTACACATGAGCTCCCCTGGTTCAGCATAATATAGATAAGATTTAAACATTTTTCTATGTGCATGAATGGAGCACATAAATGGCGGAGTGTAGCAGCGGTGGCGGTTGGAGAGCAGGAGGCGGAGAAATGGCATCAAACTAATCAGTCAGGAATAAAAAAGTTAAGGGCTCAATAATGTTTTAGTCGGTTCTTGATAAAAATCAGGGGCGTAAATAAGGATTCTATTTTTTCATTTTTGATTTTATAGAAGTTCTTTTAAACAAGATAAACAGGTTACAGTTATCAAATATGATAATCAGTTAGAAGTTTGCCAGGTTCATTCTCAGAATGTTCTCTAGATTTGGAACTGAGTTTTTGCGACACACTCAAATATTCTAATCCCTAAATCTTTGCACCGAGTGGTTAAATTAAATGTTTACAATAGCCTTTAGAATTCAGAAAGATAAAAATATATTTTTTTACTAACCATAGAAGAATATTTCTACAATAACTCTTTAGGTTTTATTATTCCTGAGTTCTGTGATAATGATATTCGCCGATCTTTCTTTTCATTCTGCAGGGGGGGGGAGCACCCCCCTCTCAGGTGCTAGGGAAAGGCGCGCGCCCGGCCGCCCCTCCCCCCCTCTAGTTGCGACTCTGCTAATTTCTAATTTCTAAAATTTTCTTGTCGTCAATGTAGTATGTTAAGATCTTAAATAAATCTAATATGGAAATGACATTTTTTAGAAGTAAAAATGCTTTCTTCATTGCCCATACCCTTTTTTTCTATTAAAAACAATTGTAATGACATTGACTATTACTTTAGAATTTAGAATCATTTAGAATATGTTGACTTAAAATCTGAAATATCTGAAGTATCTGCACATTAAAATTATTTTCGTGAAAAAACTTAGTTTGGCAAAAAGTTTAAATAATTCTAATATGGAAATGACATTTTTTAGAAGTAAAAATGTATTCTTCATTGTATTTGCCCATACCCTTTTTTCTATTCACATCTAATTTTAATGACATTGACTATACTTTAGAATTTAGAATCATTTAGAATATGTTGACTTAAAATCTGAAATATCTGAAGTATCTGCACATTTGAATTATTTTCGTGCAAATTTTAAAAATATTCAATTTTAAAATCAACCTTTTTTGAAAATAAATTCTAAGGGGGGTACCCCCAGGATTCTTGGGGGGAGGTAAATAACCACAATAACCCCCCTTTTTCCGCCACTGATAAAAATCATCCAAAATCGATGCATCTTAACATTTTCTGAGGTTTAAAGATTAAAAAAATGTTTTATGCAAAAAGCTACAGAATTTTATAATGCGAGAAGCATTTTGTAAATATTTGTGTATTTATTATTGTTTCTACATACATAGATTTTACGTAGATTTGTAAAATTTTTGTTCAATAAATGTTTGAAAGATAGAAAAGGGGATTCAACTTTAAAATAAAGTGTTCGGACAATTAAAGTTTCATGAAGACGACAATTCTTCGCATCTGTGAATTACGAAAGCATTATAAAAATAGTGCGTAATTAAAATTTTCAAAATTTCTGCATTATTTCTTCCAAAAATTGACTAGAATTATGTTGGAATAATTAAAAACTTTAAAATTAAATTTATTTGATAATGTTGATGGTGGATTTACCTTTATTCGTTTTAAATTTTTAAAAGTTATTTAAATGTCGTATTACTCCGCGTAACCTGTATTCAGCGGAGCAATATTTTGACGTCACTCTTTGCGTCTTCAGAAACCTTCGAGCCCGAATTTGAACCAATGAGAGTAATTGTTGTGATCATCTGATTTTCACCGACCAATCACAGACCCTAATAAAGAGTAAGGTAGATTTGGCCCAACTCGGACAGTCTGGACTTTCAATATTGGTGTGTCGGCCATATTTCTTCGGAGGGAAGCTACGCTTGGTCTCTTCGCAAGCCAGTGTGATGGTTTTCCGACATTATTAAGGACAAATTTAATAATAAATTTTATAGTTAAAAGTTTACTCTATCGATATATCAGTTTATATCTGAGGATTTTGTCAGGATTAGTGCTAAAAAATGAATTAAAACTACCGAAGTGAACTTCTAAGACTACTCGGGCGAAGCCCGACTCCATCCGAATTTCATTAAAAAAATTCAGAACTTTTTTCTTCTTTTAATCAACGGAATGTGATTTGACCTATAACTCTCCTATATAAAAGTGATAGATATATGTAAGATGTAAACATTTAGTTATACACAAGTGAAAAATTTTAGAGGATGTAGGAAAAATGAAAGAAAATTCAAAACTTTTAATATATCCGCTCTGCCCGCCATCTTGCGGTGAGGGCTGAAACCACTCTTACTGGATCAGCTCAAAATGGCGAGGAATTTGGACTTGAAAATTTAAGAGAAACTATAGAAATCTTTGAATTTTTTTAAATGGCATCCTCAGATTCAATGGGGGATGGCCCCCCAACTAAAAAGGCCAAAATGGGCGGAGATGCAGGTAAATAATTTTACTTAATAAACTCGTAACAAAAACCCCGCCAAAATTTGCCGGCTGGGAAATGTTCTTAAACTTAAAGATAGTTTTATTAAAATTAGACATTTTAATATCGCGATTTTATTTTTTGGAAACAAAGAAACATTCCTTTTGGATCTGTCTTAGAGAAAGATTTTTGGACCTTGTACATCACCACTTGTTTCAAGTAATATTATAATTTTTAATTTTTTGTTTTGTTAGGGTTAGGTTAACACAAGTTATGGGCCGAGCGCTGCGGCTAGGACAGGCCAGTGGGGTGGGTGCTGCGGCCACATGACCAATTATATCCATGTGTTACATACGAGATCCATGTACAATTGATGGGTAGGGGAGGTCCAAAAATTGTTCTCTAGGAAATAACCTTCCTTTTCATGTGAAAAATATATAAATAACTTAATTCCTTATACCATTAATAAATAAAATTCTTTTTCTTTAAATTGTTTCCAAATCAACTAATGAGTAGAAATTTTCATGTTAAACCCAGTTTCGATAATGAAAAACATTGAACTACCTAAAATTCTAATTTATATGAAACATGAATATTACAACTATTACAACTTTTACTCTAAATGAACACTCAGTTTAAAGAAGTAAATAAGGTTTTCTCTGGTAAATTTTTGATTTATTATCAGAACTTTCAGTTATTTTTTTTTTGCTCGTTTTTCAAATATCTCTGTCTTTATGAGTAATCCAATCTTTTTAATATTATTCCAGTATCATAACATTTTATTCCAACAGTGGTTCATTATTCCCCCATCCCCGTCATTTTTTTTGTAAGAAATAAAATTATGTTTTAATATAATTTATTTTCTTGGATTTAAATTAAGTTTTGTTGAATGTTTTATTCTACTGTTTTAAACTTTTTATTCTTTCAATACAAATACAGATTTACCCCAATCTCGGAATTAAGTCAAAGCCGCGACGCGGTGCTCGATACGATCCCTAACATTTTAATTTTTGAAGATTGGGGAGGGGAGGGGACATCAACTTCAAAAACTTAACAAGAATTATTTTGGCATTAACTATTCGTATTTTAGAAATGTTGTCTGCACTCAACGACGATCTACCGGATGATCTATTGTGGAGCGTGGACTCAGGTGGGGCATCTAATGGATCTATGTCCAATGGTTCCATGGACCAGATGTCCTCTGGGCCACCCATGAGTGGAATGATGCAGGGAATGAGGGCCCCAGGTCCTGGTATGAACCAGATGAGTGGAATGAACCAGAATATGAATCTTGTGAACTCATTAAACAAGAATAAAACTAATGGTCCACTGTTAATTGGTTCCCCCGGTCCTCACCCCGATAGTATCGGAACCATAAACAGTTCAATGCAGAGTTCAATTTCCCAGGTTTCTATTGGACACCCGGGACAGATGTCAATGGCCCCGATGAGTTCTATGTCGGGGGAAATGACGATGGTGTCAAGTATGTCAAACATGCAGAACGTGCAAGGAATGCAGCAAATGCGTCCTATGATGGGCCAGAATACCATCATGTCCCAATCTGGTATGAACGGGCCAATGGTCCGGCATCAAATGGGTCCTATGGGAAACAACTCAATGCAGCGTCAGGGTCAACCCAATATGATTCAGGGCCAGCCTAGAATGATAAATGCCCCTGGTGGAGTCAGGATGCAGAATATGGTGAGTTAAATAGTTATTTGTAGTATTAATTTTCTTATAGGTACTGTTGGTGTAATTTTAAGCAACCCTACATTTCTAGAAGTGCATGCCGTTGCTTTTTGCATAATTAACGACGGTACCCATTGCGTATTAATACGATCATTATTGTGGAAGCTGAACACGTTTTTCAAATTTTCTGAACTGTTTCTATAACAAGACATCCTGAAGTCTCTTTTATAGACAACCCACAATTATAGTTAGTTAACTTTTACAGTGAAATCATGGACATTTCTTTTTTTCTAGAATCCATTTTTGAACTTTGTCGTGATATTTCAGTTTTTCATACTTGGTGCACTTAGAAATCGTCAATTTTCTCCAATTGCGCGAATAAACTTTAAAAAAATACGATCCGCGCAAGTATACATAACTTCTTTTCTTAAGAGGGGGGGGGGGCAATGATTTTCACGAAAATTTACACCTCGGACCTTTCATGGACATTTCAGTTCCACTGAAAATAAAAAAGGAATTTTTAGAAAGACAATGTTCCGGAATAGGGCAGGCCTGGCAAATCATTCTTTTTATGTTTTCAGTTTCAGTTAACTTGATAAATTATTTTTTCTTCCATAAGTTATATATGTTTTCTCGGAAATTATTTTAGGGTTTTATCTGCTGAGTGTTNGGGGGGGGGAATACATCAACTATTGGGCTAAAAGCAACTAGAGTAAAGAAGCTTGCAATTTTTTATTTTTGCGCCCAGAGGATTGGAAATAATTCCCTCTTGAAAAATTAACTCACAGTATCTAAATATCTTCATCAAAAAAAATTAAGCTTACCATTGGGTTTTTTTTTGATAAAGTTTTCGTTTTGGTTAAAAATATTTTAGTTTAGATTGTCTAAATGTTTGTTTTCAGCCTGGTATGATCGGAGGGCAACAGTTTCAATCCCAACAGAACCATCAGATGGGAATGGGAGGTAACATGGTACCTGGCTCCGCTCCTGTCAACCTTCCTCCCCGCTATCCATCCCAACTAGATCAAAACTCCCAACCCAATGTTGGAAATCAGAATATGGTTGGAAACAATGGGTCTATGGTACAACAAGGTTCCAACGGGAACATGAATCCCGGTGGGTTAAACCAGCTTCAAATGCTTCCAAACACGATGAACCAAGTGATGAATTCAGGTGTTAATACCAGTGTTCCAGGGGGTGTCCCTGGTGTGCCAGGACCTCCTTCCTCTGCAGACCCAGAGAAACGAAAACTTATCCAACAACAGCTTGTTCTTCTCCTTCACGCACACAAGTGTCAACGTCGGGATAGAGAACAACAAGCCTTGGGACAAGGAGCAGAGATACGACCTTGTACCCTTCCACACTGTCGAACTATGAAGGATGTTTTGAACCATATGACGACATGTCAGGCGGGAAGGGATTGTAAGATACCACACTGCTCCAGTTCACGTCAAATCATAGCTCATTGGAAGCATTGTAACCGTCAGGATTGTCCTGTTTGTTTACCTTTGAAGCAAGCGGATCCCCGCCGTAATCCAAATGATCTTATGTCTCCTCCTGGAGCTGTTGTTCAGCGACCACCTGGGCCTCAGCAAATGAATATGCAAGGAGTTTCACCAAACGGCAACGCGCCCTCCCCCCAACCCGGTCAACCCAGTCAGGCCAATCTAGAAGCGGCCCGCCGTGCTCTCGGCATATCTAATGATAACCTTGCTCAACCCAGACCTCAGATGTCTAATATGCCGGTGAGACAAAATCTGAACCCCCAGCTGAACCAACAGCAGGCCCAAATGGGCGGCCAGGTCCGCCCTGGTATGTCGGTGATGATGGGGCCTGGGCCTAGAATGTCCCAACCTTCTGCCATCAACCGTCCACCCCTTCCTAGCTCGGCAGGTCCACAGTACGATCAGATCGCTAGTACGCTGATGGAACCAACGAGAAACGTGTTACCGGATGAAATACAGAATACTGTGATTGCGGCCCCTGTACAGAGCACGAAAGAATGGCACAATATGGTAACTCCGGACCTTAGAAACCATCTTGTACATAAACTAGTTCAGGTAATTTGATTTTAAAGGAATAAAAGCGCATAATAATTGATCACTTAATTCAAATGCTAATTTTCTAATTCCGGCATTAGGTTGCAAAGATATTGGTTTTCGAAATTTAGTATTCGAGGCGAGTAATCAATTCTTTTACCACAAAAATAAAGTTTTAAAACTCAAATTCAAAAACAATTTTCGAGTTTTCAGATTTTTATGATTATTTAGTTCATTTTATAAAGCAAAAACAAGTATTGGTTAAATAATCTAAATAATATTTTTTTGTTCTAGGCAATATTTCCTACTCCAAATACACATGATGTTTTGGATGAACGTCTTCGTAGTCTTGTAGCATATGCGCGTAAAGTGGAGGGGGACATGTATGAAGCTGCTAACTCTAGAAATGAATACTACCATTTACTCGCCGAGAAAATATACAAAATTCAGAAGGAGTTGGAGGAGAAGCGACGTCGAAGGCAGGAAATGCCACCACAGGGTCGCCCTCCACAACAGCAGGTTGGTCCCCAGGGTGTGATGGGTCAGCAGATGATGAACCACGAGGGTCAGGATCCTGCAACATCTTCAGGATCTATGAATAGTGATCTACTACGTCGTCAGCTGCAGCAGCCTGGTCAGATTAGACCTCCCATGAGTAATAATACAGTTAATCAAAACAATGCTCTTCAACATATGAATGATACAGCACTAATAGGAGGACAATCTCAGTTAGAAAATTTACTTAAGAAGAGTGCAAATGAAATTGACCCCAGCGAGCTTGCCAAGGCGCATGAGATGCGTACTAAGGTTCCCTCCGTAGAACCTATATCGGGAATGCCCCCAACCTCACATCAACAACAGATGGGGAGCACTAACAATATGAATGGTCCAAGCTCAGATATTAAAATGGAGTTGGAGATGAAGCAAGAAGCGGAGATTAAGACTGAAATCAAACCTGAGATTGATGTGAAGCAGGAACCGATGGAAACCAACTTCTCCGACCAACCTGATGTCAAAGTAAAGACGGAGACTGACGTCAAGACTGAGGTCAAGGAAGAGCCAAGGTCGAGTGAACCAACTCCAAAGAAAGAGGAGGAAGAGACCCAGAATCCGGTTCCAACCAAGACGGAGGAGGTTGTGGTGAGGAAGGTCACCTTCTCCAAAGACGAACTGAGGAATGCGCTTCTACCTCCCTTGGAGAAAATGTGGGCCATTGAACCTGATGCGATTCCATTCCGCTCACCTGTAGATCCTAATGCGCTCGGGATACCGGACTATTTTGAAATCATCCGAACTCCGATGGATATGTCGAGTATCCGGCGTAAACTGGATACTGGAGCCTACCAGGACCCCTGGGAGTTTGTTAATGACGTGTTTCTCATGTTTGAGAATGCCTGGGTTTACAACAGGAAGACGTCGAGGGTTTATAGATATTGTACAAAGGTGACGACTTTTTCTTATATAACATATTTTATTCAATACATAGTTTCAGTTTTTTAATTCTTATTTTTTTCAGTTGTGCGAAGTTTTCGAAGCCGAGATCGATCCAGTAATGCAATCCCTTGGGTTCTGTTGTGGAAGGAAACATACATATTCTCCCAACACTATGTGCTGCTATGGTCAGCAGTTGTGTACCATTGGGCGGGATTGCAAATATTTCTACTTTGATAACAAGTACGTGATTATTGAAATCTTAGACTTAAAAATGTAATTTAGAAGAAGTTTTAAAATCTTTTCTATTTTTAATGTAATTTTACAAGTTATATCATTAATAGGCAAATAATGCAGAATTGAGGGTAAAATAAATTGTTAAAATTTGAGGAAAATACGAATTTTAAAAAGTTTTTAGACTATTGGAACGGTTAAAACAATTAACTCTTTCATGGGTTTATGATAAAAATTAAAAAATTATTTTTTTAGGAACCCCACTCCCAGCTTGTTCTCTGATAAATACACCTTCTGCGACAAATGCTTCAGCGATATACCAGGCGACTCCGTCTCATTGGGTGATGATCCTAGTCAGCCTCAAACGTAAGTTTCTCAAATTATTCGTAATTTTTTTAACAAATCTGAAAAAAGTATGCTCAGAGATGAAAACTTTAGAATTGGATACCCTAAATCCTGATCGCTTAATCTTAATATCCACCATGGAAACTTTTTAATTCGCTCTTATTGGATATCACATTTCCTACTACGTGTAATAAAGATACGTTGCATTACAAATACAGATACGATGCTATATCTATAGAACTAATATACGATTGAAGTAACGTCAGCTGTTCACAAGTTGGCTTTAAGAGCATTTAAACAAATACAAATTTAATCATTTTATTATGAACTTCTTAAAAACATATTTCATTTGATTTGAGGTCTGAAGTCCCTTTTGTACGTTAGTCTTAATAAACATTGATCCAAAAATGACGTGCGTTCAATCGATCATTAGTCCAATTGATATGACACCACAAATGCGGGAAAATTAAAAATCGGATTTTCATAAGTTAAAGGGAGCATCTCTAATCTCTAGAAATTAGTCTTGAGATTAGCAAAAAGTGAGGATTAAGCATTGATCTTGATATCCACCATTCTAAAGTTTTAGCTCAGGATGATTTTTAATCTTGTTCTTCCAGAACCTCTTCTCGGAGCATAAAATATGCAAATCAGGCACAATTCTTGATAACTCTGTCCGGGCCTTTATAAAATTTTTAAGCACTCTAAATTTAAATTTAATGGAAAGAAGTAGCTTGATTAACGTTTTCTGAAGCGTGTTTTTACCAGTGCTTAGGATCCGGATCCGCAAGATTTTGGCTTCCTGGATCCGGATCCGCAAAAATATGCTTATCCACGGATCCGGATCCAAGGGGAAAATATCAACCAAAAACTGCAAAAAAAAACTTTTTTACTCCTAAAACCCAAATCTGAATTTTTGAAAAAAGAGAGATTATAAAAATGTCCTTACTTCTGAATGGTTCATCAAGTTTTAGAATAAAAATAGGTGGGAAAAAAATAAAATAAAAAATTTGAAAATTATTTTTTGTTGAAAAAATTCAGTAAATCTCAAAGAAAGGGCCTGGATCCGGAGACATTTTTTTCCAGTGCGGATCCAGGATCCGGATCCGCATCAAAATTAAATGTATCCTAAGCACTGGTTTTTACTATTAAAATATGGAAAAGTGTATTTTATTTTAAAAATACTGTTGTTCAGGTTAATAAAAAAAGACGAGTTTAAGACGGCTAAGAACGATGTACTCGAACTTGAACCTTTCGTCACTTGCTCCGACTGCTGTAGAAAACTGCATCAAGTCTGTGTCCTCCACTTTGAACAGATATGGAAAGAGTAAGTTTAAATTTTAATTTTTATTTCTAAATTTTGTTAAAAGTTCTTGCAAGTTTGTTTTCTAACTAAGCTTTATTCTAGATTTAAATGTGAAGGCTGCCACAAGGCGCAAGGGACAAAGAAGAAAGAAAACCGGTTTACCGCGAAACGGTTGGCAACAACCCGACTCGGCAGCTATATAGAAACCAGGGTTAACAATTTCCTTCGAAAAAAGGAGGCTGATGCGGGTGATGTTCATATTCGGGTTGTATTCAGCGGAGATAAACATGTGGAGGTTAAACCTGGGATGAAACACAGGTAAAAAATATACATTTTATTAGGTACCATATCTCAGTAGTCAGTATCATTAGTTTTGCGTTAAATCCCATTTTATTATTTTTGAGTAATAATCGCAATTTTCGAATACATTTTAACTACTCATATAATTTTAATATTTTAATAATTCTTCATTATTTTTTCTTTCTGGGAGCTATTTGAAAGAGTTGTTTTACTCTGTGTGTTTTAGGTATGTGGATACTGGGGAGATGTTGGATAATTTCCCATACAGAGCTAGAGCAATGTTTGCTTTCGAGGAACAGGATGGAGTTGATGTTTGCTTCTTTGGGATGCACGTTCAGGTACCATATCCTCCAATCTTGCTAATTGTCCCATACACATAGCAAATTTTAGTCTTTAACAGCGGAGGGGATCTTTTATCTTGAAATTCTTGAATAAACGTTTTTTTTATTGTTTTCATAATTCAAATAAACCTTTATATTTCCCCTTTCTTCAATATTTCACTGTTGATTTTAAATTTACATACACATACAACTTAGTTTGGCAAAAAAGTTTAAATAATTATAATTAATGTATTTTAGGAGTATGGTTCCGAGTGTCCCCAGCCTAACACACGGCGTGTATATGTGGCGTACCTAGATTCTGTTCATTTCTTTAAACCTAGACACTTCAGAACATCAGTTTATCATGAAATTTTATTAGGTAAGAACATCTTTTCCACTAGAGATGGAACCACACTCAACGGTCAACATGGTTTATTACTCTTAATTTGGAGAAAAAATGTCAAGTTAAGTTAACATTTTCTATTCCAGGTTACCTTGACTACATGAAAAAGCTTGGTTATACAATGGCTCATATCTGGGCTTGTCCTCCAAGTGAAGGGGACGATTATATCTTCCATTCTCATCCTAATGAACAGAAAATACCGAAACCAAAGAGACTCCAGGTAAATGGAACAGTTACATTTTTGGTTTTTTATAGAAATCTTTTAAGCTTTTATTTATCCAATATATTTTTTTATTTTTCCAATATATCTGATATGTTGCCATTAACTAGAAAGCATAGAATTTTCAAGCGATTATAAGACCGTCGAAAGTTATCTTTAATTAAAATTTAGCTTGCAAACGCTGTAATGTTACTGAAGAACTTTATGTGTCTTGAAAACAAATATTTCTCAGGAAAATATTTACACTCCGTTATAACTTCTAAAAAAAGCATTGTTGTAAGAATTTTAGTTATTTTTCACGCATTATTCACTGAATGATTATCTAGGAATGGTATAAGAAGATGCTTGACAAGGGAATTATTGAACGGATAGTCCTGGACTACAAGGACATCTACAAACAGGCCTTAGAGGATAATATCCAAACACCAGCTGAGCTGCCCTACTTCGAGGGGGACTTCTGGCCGAACGTCATGGAGGATAACATCAGGGAGCTGGAGGAAGAGGAGGCTGCTAGAAAAAGGGTACGTTCTTTTTAATGAGTAAAAATTTACCGATATTGTTTTGAGATATCCTTCATCTCTTTTTTCTTCTGCTAGATGTCGACAATCAAATATTTATTCAGTCTTTGCTTTGCAACTTCGTTTCCAAGAAGAATTATTTTATAAAATAGGCACAGTATTTATACATACAAAATCAGTAATCACAAAAATTATCTTAGTCCGTAAAATCTGTCATAAATATCAACTTGGTCCATAAAATCTGCATCCTTTTTAATATTCTATAAAAAAAAATTAAAAAAATAGGAAATATTTGACTTGGAAATATTTGACTTGGAAATTTACTATAAAAAATGCCAAAAGATTGTTTTTTGATAAGTTCGTGGTTTTACTAATTCTGCTATATGATGCACGTGTTTAAATTTCAAGCTATTTATAGAACTGTTTCTTATCATATTTATAAAATCAACCAATCGTATCTTAATTTAAAACAAAATATTTCGGATTTTTTATTAAACATGCACAACAAAGATGTGAAAAGAAATATGATTTGAACCAAATTTGACCCACTGAAGGTTCTAATTGTCTAATTGCATTAGGAGATGGAGGAGGCTGAACGTCTGGCCGCTGCAGCTGAGGCTGAGGATGAACCCGAGGTCGGAGAGCCTGGTCCTGACGGGAAGAATAAGAAAGGAAACAAGAAGAATCAAAAGAAGAAGAAAACCAATGCACAGAGGAAAGCTAGCGCCAAGAAACCGAACCAAGGGACGAGTGATCTATACAGTAAAATATTCGCTACAATGGAGAAACATAAAGAGGTTTTCTTCACGATACGACTACATAGCGCTCAGTCAGCCGCCAGCCTTGGTACAATTGTTGATCCTGATCCTCCGATGTCTGTAAGTTATCAACTTTTTTCATTTTGATAAAATATAGAGCCTTATTCTGGAACAATTCTTATTTTCAATAATTTTCTTATCACATTGTTCCCTTCCAAAGAATATTTAATCCTTACAGGGGCGTAAATAAGGGGTGTTATTTGAGATAATAATCTTGGGGTAATTATCCCCACCGAGTTCTCCGCTAATAACGAAATTAGCAGGGGGGGGNTGGTCAAATTAATAAATGTTAATAAGCGGGATGGAATTATTTTGGATGTATTTATAGTCTTCTTATCAAAATTATGTTTGAATTTCATCATAATAGTTAATTTATTTAGTGTGATATGATGGATGGTCGGGATGCTTTTCTAACTCTGGCTCGGGAGAAACATCTTGAGTTCAGTTCTCTTCGTCGATGCAAATACTCAACACTTGCACTTATATATGAACTCCATACTCAGGTAATTATTTTGTGTACAATGTTTAAACCTTATGTTTATGACGTATAACATGTCCCTAAAATTCTGAGTTATGTTGATTTGTTTAGGATTAGTTTTATTGAACTCAAGTGGATAGATTGTAAATTAAGCTAGGAATTATTGAGGAATTCCGGAAAGCTAGGCATTAACTACATTGTTTGTTAAAAACTAGTCCTCATACGTGACATTTGAATGTCATTCTACTCTAAAGGACTTTTTTGGATGGATTGTGATGTAGGATGTGGGATGTAGAATGTAGAATGTAGAATGTAGAATGTAGAATGTAGAATGTAGGTTGTAGAATGTAGATGTAGGCTGAAATGAATTTCGTCTAAAATCTTATGTTTTAATAATATTGTATTATCGATTAATTTGGTTTCAATCTTTGCATCTTTGATATTACTTCATTATTATGATATTACTAATTTCTGTTGTATTCAGGGTCAGGATAAGTTTGTGTACACATGTAACGGATGTCAGAAGAGCGTAGAGACCAGATATCACTGTACGGTTTGTGATGATTTCGACCTGTGTGTTTCCTGCTACCAGGAGAAGGGACATATACATAAGATGGAGAAACTTGGTTTTGATCTGGACGGAGGAGCAACAGAGGCAGCAGCTACAAACAATCCACAGGTTTGCAACCGTCTTTTATCTTTAAAAATAAGTCGAAAATTATCTTGACGTTTCACCTAAAATTGTCTTATGTTGGAATTTGGGTTAAAAAAAAACGTGTTAACTGTTTTATGTTAGTTTTTTTTATCATCAACACTTTCTCTGATGTATATCATTATTTTAGTTACAAATGCAGTTGTGGTTCCTCTTGAAATTAAAATATCATTAATGAATTTTTATAGGAGGCGCGTAAAAATTCAATCCAGCGTTGCATCCAGTCCCTTGTTCATGCCTGCCAGTGTCGAGATGCTAACTGTCGTTTGCCCTCTTGTCATAAGATGAAGAGGGTAGTTAGTCACACCAAGGCGTGTAAGAGAAAGACGAACGGTGGTTGTCCAATCTGTAAGCAGCTCATTGCACTGTGCTGCTACCACGCTAAACTTTGTCAGGTAGGGATTATTAATTTTAACAATTGTAGAACAAATTAATGACAATTTTCTAAGACTGGTTGAATGGTTTTGAAATTCTGTAATCGAATTCAAATCGATAAAAAAAATTATTGTGGAATAAGCATCACGGAATTACATTTTTTACATTTTTTCATTAACTTTATCTTTTACTAAATTTGCTGAATTTTCCCCACATTTTAAAAATACCTGGTGACAAGGTAAAAAGCATATTTTTCATTTGTTTTAATTCAGGAAGCGAAATGTCCTGTCCCCTTCTGCTTAAACATTAAGCAAAAGTTACGTCAGCAGCAGTTACAGCAGCGTCTACAAGAAGCTGCCATGATGCGCCGACGTATGGCTCAGATGAATGCTAGAATGAACGCAGGCTTACAGAACGGACCGGCAAGCTCTGGAAAGGGATTGCCGGCACCGGCAGCTTCTGCTCCGATGGCAGTTGCAAATCCATTACAAAATGCCGCCGGAAAACCTGGAGCACAACCAAACCAGGGTGTTCTAGAGGCGGTTAAAAAGGTAGGAAAAGTTTTATTTTCGAAAGAGGAAAGAAGAACTGATCCACAAAGTCAATTTTCACAAGAATGATTTTTTTTTTGTTGATAAAACCAAATGATTTGATTTGTTTGAGTCTAAAATCTGCTGGGTTTGTGTTGAACTGATTTCACTGTTACAGGTTCAGGAAGAGGCTAAACAGCAGCAGCAGCAGGTTGGGATGCGTATGCCAGATCCTACACAGCGTCCGGTCAACCCAGCTATGATGCAACAGCAACATGCGGTCCGACAACAACAACCACCCCAACAGGTGGGCATGCGTCAAACTATGCCGATGAGTGGACAGTGGCAGTCCGGCATGCAGCAACAACAACCCCAGGGAATGCAGCAGAGGCCTATGATGCAGGGTGTCCAAGGACAGGTCCCAGGACCTCCTGGACCTATACCTGGACAACCTGAACAAGGTCAACGACAAACTATGCAGAGCTTACAGCAGCTTATACAGGTATAGTTATCAACATTAAAAGATTGTTTCTCAATTTTGTTTATTCTTTATAACTGGGTTATTTTTTAGGCATTGAGATCTCCGCAGTCTCCCCAGCAACAGCAGCAGGTTCTGCAGATACTTAAATCTAATCCTAGCTTGATGGCAGCATTCATTAAACAACGTCAACACCACCACAACAACAGTGGACAAGGTGGAAACCAAGCTCCTGGAAATACACAGATAAATCTATCCCAGATACAGCAGGGAGCAAACCAGATGATGTCTAGTATGACGGGGGGAGGGCAGGTACCTAATCAACCTATGGGGATGAATCAAGGTCTAGGAATGAATCAACCACAGCAAGGTATGGGTCCACAGCCTATGGGAATGAATCCCGGGATGATGCAGCATCAAAACCAACGATTTCGCCCGATCCACCTTCAACAGCAGGGCGGACAGTTTGGAGGCGGGGCTCAGTTTCAACAGCCGGCTCCGCCCTACCAGGGTAATATGGGTCCTCGTGGTATGAATCCTGGTTTCCAAAACAATATGGGAATGAGACAACCCGTCCCAGGAGGTATGATGCAAGGGAACATGATGAACCAACAAATGCTCTCCCAGGTTAGATCTCCCTCCCCTGGTATGCCGGTCAGATCTCCGAACCCTGCTGCTTCCCCCCGTCCTGTTCCAGGTATGGTTCAGAGTCCACACAATAACTCCCCGCACCATCACATGGGTCAGGTCGGGGATGATGTCAACGGGACCTCAGGAGTCATGATGCTCGGTCAACAGACCTCCATGGCATCTAACATGAACATACAAACCTCCATGATGGAAAATTCCGGAGGTCAACCCCAAGAACCCTCGTCGATGACCCCCCAGGATCAACTAAGTAAATTCGTTGAGACCCTATAACATAGGATACGCCTTAGCGGCTCCGATCCATACTTATACACCAGAACCTAACCATACATACCTTCAGAGTAAACTGTTCAATCAGATAGTTATATGATAGGAGGACAGACGAAAAGTGAATCAGTGATACGTCTGCCCCAGGGCCGTATAAACGGTAGTGAAGGATTCCATTGGAACGTTAACAGAGTCAAACTCACCTCGTTGTTGGATATTCACTTGTTTTTGTTAAGATTTGATTTTGGCGAAATAATAAAAATATTTTATTCGTCGACCCGATCTATTTACCTATTTTCTATGAATAATAAATAAGTTCTGAATTTAAACGTATTCTTGAATAGAAGTGAATTTTAGCTCTGCGTTGTAGGATTTTTTTTATTATATTGAATTATTATCCTATAATTAAGTCTACAGTCTATGTCTTAAATACACACAAGAGCATTTGACATGTTGAAGATTAAATTAGTTTGATCCCAAATAACAGAACCAATTATGTTTTTTATTAAAAAGGTTGAAAATTCGTGTAAAATTCTGATTGGCCAAAAAAATGTCGTTTAAGTTCCACACTTAAATTTTATCAATGTAAAATCTAGACAATTTTTCGTTGATTCTGAATTTATTCTCTCTAGGTGCTGACAATATTTACAAAATTTGGGTTAGCGATTCCTTAATCTCATTCTCATCATTCTCATATTTAAATATTAATGCATAATTCTCTGAAAGCTGAACGATTTTTAAATAACATGTAAATTGAAGACAAACGTTCTAATTTTAAGTTACAATCTTTTTAATTAAGTCGAGAGAAATATAAAAATATCTAAAATACTTCAATTGAGTGACTTGATGAATGATAATGACTAAAAAAGTTTATTTTCTCTTTTAAACAGAAACTTAAGTTTCAATCTTTTTCAATGTCCGGTTCTGTCTTACAAAATGTTCATTGTTTCTCTTTTGGTAAATTCAAAAATTTTACAATAACAGTAATTAGACTTCTTAAACTCATTTAAGGGTTTATGTTGTTTTTTAAGAAATATTCAGAATAAGTTATTGTATACGCGGTAATTGTACATACCCTCTGCATATCCTGCAAAGCATGTATAATCATATGGTAGGGCGAACCGCGTCAGTTGTATCTCCCTTCAAGGGACAGTAAAGGAAAAATGAAAGGGGGTATAGGCTGAAAGCTAATCACTTTAGCTCTTGATCTCGACCCATGAAAGTCATATCTGATGTTCTTGTCTCGAGAAATTGATATAAAACTGTGTCAAATCTATACGAAAATTAATATATATACAATTTTGTATAAAAGTAGTAGGTTTAAACAGATATTCAGCAATAATATTCAGCAAATAAGCAACCAATCTGAAAACGATGATATCCCAGAGAAAGCTAATTGTAATTTAGGTTTACTTTTATATTTGTTGTTTCTGTTTTCAATAGATTTCATTCAGAATATTATTTATACATCCGTATTGCTTGACCAGAAATTCCACCAATGGCAGTGCAGTAAAGTGGTCACGTGATACAGGCGGAGACACGTGACCAGTATACTGCTCTGCCATTGGTGATAGTTCTGGTCACGTGATTTAAGTTTCAGATTTTCAAAATTTTACATATATGAATTTTCGTATAATTTTAACACAGTTTTATATCAGTTTCTCGAGACAGGAACATCAGATAAAACTTTCATGGGTCGCGATCAAGAGCTAAAGTGATTAGCTTTCAGCCTATACCCCCTTTCATTTTTCCTTTACTGTCCCTTTCATTGCACTCCCTGACCCTTTCGCATCCACTATTTAATCGTCCAGATCCAGTTTTATTATAAAGACCTCTATAGTAACAAACATGAACATATTTCATTGGAAATTAATAACTTTTTAAATGAAGAATATCCCCATCCTCAGTTAAACAATGAACAGGTCGAACAGGTCCAACTTCTAGAGCAAGATATTACATTACAAGCTCTTTGTTTACTTATGCTTTTATAAATGATTTTGGAGATATTTAGGGAGGTCTATACTAAATGCCGTGAAATATAGTTTTATAATTAATAAATTACCCAAGCTCTCAGACTATAGGAATCATTTCTCTTCTACCTAAAGGTGAGAAGCCTAAACAATTCTTGGAAAACTCCAGAACTTATGAGCTCAATTATTGCGAATAGAATCAATCCTGTCTTGCCATCAATAATTCACAATGACCAGTCAGGTTTTGTCAATGAAAGATATATTGAGGATTGTATACGCAATACTTATGATATAATGCATTGGGCTAAATGCAAGAAAAGGTTATTATTACTGATTATCTTTAAACACATTGATACAACCCTTCATTTCTTTGGATTTGGAAACAATTTCACAAAATGGATTAATATTCTTCTTCACAACTTTAAGGTTTGCATTAACCATGCTGGAAATATATCTGAATTTTTCGAGGTCTCCCGTGGCTGCAGACAGGGGGACCCTATCGCTGCAGCCCTATTTGTCTATTAAAATTCTTTGTATTAAACTTCGCTCATCTCCTTATGTAACAGGATATAAAATTGAAAATCAAGAAATACTTTTATCGTTATATGCTGATGATTGTTCAAATTTTCTGGAATACAACGAAAACAATTTAGAAAATGCCATCATAATACTTAATGACTTTTATCATGTCTCAGGACTCAAAATTCATTTAACCAAAACTCAATGTGTGGTATTTGGTCATATTCCTAATGATAACTATGAAATTTGCAATCATATATCTTTGAAATGGGATCAGAATTTCAAACTACCTGGGGTTGAAACCGTTGAATTTGATGGGATGCTAGAAAATATGCATTCAAATTATGAAAATAACTCTTTAAAGAAATGCGCTCTATCATGAAATCTTGGCAACATAGATTTATAACTTAACTAGGTCGTACATGTACATCTAAAACTTTACTGCTTTCTAAATTATCTCACCTATCCTTTTACCTGGTTTAGACAAAAAGAAACTAAAAAAAAATGAGTCAGAAATATACCATTTTATATGGAGTGGGTCCGAGAAAGTATCTAGACTTGATGCCTGATATATATGCCAGTTTTACAGCTTTCAGATTTTCTTGGTTTCGAAGATTGGTGAATAGCCAATCAGCCTGGAAGTATATTTTTACACTGAACCTATTGAACACATTCGGAATAGATATTCAGGATTTTTTCACTACTTTTGGGATGGCCGGGGGCTGTTATAGGCTAAAAAAATTCAAAATATTTAAAAAAAAAAAATTTTATGTTTTAAAAATTATTTTTCTATTTATTTTTCCACGGGCAACACCGGGCCTTTCAACCAGTTTTATTATATATAGGTTTTATCAAATATATATTTACACTAAAGGCAGTATTGATAAAAGCTTTATTAATGAAACTTTTTTAGTTAGAGGTAAAATTGAAATTTGAAAGTATTTTTTATTATTTGATGTATTTATACTTAAACGGAATTCATGCGCACTTTCAAGTGACCCTCCATTTATAGAGTGGCATGTCCGATGTGCCTTTGAAACCTTCATTTTTCCATCGTTTTTGCACCAAGAAATGCATGAGTCACTTTTGTAGAGAAACTACAAATAAAAATAATCAGTTTTCAAATTGGAAACATGGATATTTAATGCAATACTTGATCAGACAAAGTTTTGAAGGGTATTGTTGGAAAATGTTATAGAATGTAGATTGCCTGAGGAAGGGAAATGCAAGCAGATGTAATATTTATTGAGCCCCCCATGTGTGCCCCCCTCAGGGGGGCACCCTTGTGCGCCCCTGTATCCAAAGATAATCATAATCCAAATTTATGTAAAGTTACTTCTGATCTGAATTAAATTCTTTAAAACCAGAAGAGGATATGTGATAGTGATACTGTTTCCAGTCACAAGTTGTTTCGATGTATATGTTTTATTAATAAACGTTGGTTACTTTTATTCCACGTTTTGCCTCAGTGGTGACGCCGAGTTTGTGACACATTTTCTTTTTTACCGTCCTGTCAGCTGAAATTGCACCTGGCTCCTTGTTTTCTTCACAACATTTGAATAGTAAGATACAGGCAGTTGGACATTTTTATTTCAGCGAGGGTGGTTTATGATGAGCTGTGGCAGAACAGTAACCTGACCACCCTCAATGCATTATCTTATGCATTAGATGACCAGGAGGTTGTTGATGTTTTTGCTGTTTCCTCCTGTTCTGCTTCCCGTTCTTCTTCCGTGCTCCTTCCCAAGTCTGAGAGATCAACCTCTTCAAAGTGTTCATCCTCATCTAGATCAAGTCCTTCAGGGTGGTGCTGGTACCACAGGTCTCATGGAGAAGAAGCTCAGAGCTGCGAGAGTCTCTGGTCTTATGTTCTGGGAAAATAGCTGGCTGGCGGGAGGAGCAAGGTCCCTCTCTTCCCGTTGTGATATCCTCTCTCATCTACTTCCTGGATTCTCTCTCTGGAAGGAATTTTTTAGTCGATATAGGAGCTTCAAGACAGTTTTCCCTGAGTCAACGATTGTACCTATTCTGGAGTATCTTGCAGTCCTGCTGGTTCCCCACTATTAACAGCAGGAGGGGATTCTGTACCTTGTTTTGGTGACAGAATACTCCCTCTCAAGCTCGGTTCTCGCAGTTTCCAGTGGAGTTTTTGTCTGGCTCTTGTGACTACTCCTATCCTGGGTTCAGATTTTCTTAGAAATTTATCCCTCCTGGTCGATGTAGATGGAGGACGGGTGTCAGACACAGATTCCCTGGATGTTTTATCAACAGGATCCTCACACACCTATTTAACACCTTTCTGTGCTCACCTGAGGTCAGCTTCCAGGGAGATAAGGAAGTTGTTGGCTGATTATTCTGACATCCTCTCTTCAGATGGTTTCACAGCTTCTAATTCCAAGCATGGTGTGTTCCATGACCTCCCCACTGTTCCTGGTCGTCCTATTTTTGCAAAGGGAAGACATGTGGATCCTGAGAAGTTGGCCTCTGCCAAGGCTGAGTTTGCAAAAATGGAAGCTGCAGGGATTATCTGAAGGTCTAGCTCCCCTAAGTCAAGCCCCCTGCATATGGTTAAGAAGTCTGACAGTGACAGGCCCTGGCGCCCCTGTGGAGACTACAGGAGACCTAACACAGTCACAGTTCCTAACAGGTACCCTCTACCCTCAGTCTCTGATTTCTCTGCGAGGATATCCTGCTCCGAAGTGTTCTCCAAGCTGGACTTGCTGAAGGGGTACTATCAAGTTCCTATGAGAGATCAGGATGTTATCAAAACTGCTGTTGTTACTCCTTTTGGCCTGTTTGAGTTCCTGGGCCTTCCTTTTGGCTTTAGGAATGCAGTTCAAACATTCCGGAGAAAGATGGATAATATCTTTAGTGACCTGTCCTTTTTTCCATCTTCTTAGATGATATTCTCATCTTCTTTCCTGATTTGTTTTCCCATCAAGATCAGCTTCTTTCAGCACTGCAGAGATCATGGCCTCACCATCAACCTGGTTAAGTGTATTTTTTCTGTCTGCCAGGTGGAGTTACTGGGCCAGAAGCACTGCTCCGCCATCTCTCAGTTCCCTTGTCCAGCAGATTGACCTTCTCTCCAAAGATTCCTAGGAATGGTCAACTTTTACAGAAAGTTTATCTGCAAAGATTCTTCATCCTCTGACCTCAGCTTTGAAAGGGTCTCCAAATAATTTCTCCTGGTACTCTGCACTGGAACAGTCCTTCTCTGATGCCGAATCCTCTCTGCTCCAGGTTCCTAGGTTGGTTCATCTTGTTCCCTCATCTCGGATCTCCCTAGCAATTGATGCCTCTGAGTCCCACAATAGTGCAGTCCTCCAAGCAGAGTCTTTTCATCCTGGGCTCCGCTAGCCTTCTTCAGTAAGAAGCTCTCCAACCCAGAGAACCGCTAACCTGCATTTGACTGTGACCTGCTTGCTGCCTACTCCGCCATCCGCCACTTCCGGTTTCTGTTGGAAGGTTTAGGGTTTCTCCGCCCTGGTCAGCTAGACAGCAAAGACAGCTATCTTTCATCTTGGAGTTTAAAAGTTCTATCCAACATCTCCAACATCTGCCTGGTTCAGAAAACACAGTAGCTGATGCTCTATCCCTTCCTGTTGGTATCCTTGTGGTTCCAGCTCCTGGTTCCTGCCCTGAAGGTTCAGTTTCTCTGATTCTCTCCATCATCTCTGAAACCCATGCTCAGGGTTTAGTTTTTCGGTTCTCTCCTCCAGTGTTTCTCTGACCTCAGCTCAGTTATTCGATTATTCTAACCTTGCTCAGCTCCAGAAACAGTGTTCAGAAACTCAAGATCTAATTTCAAGCTCTGTGCTCATGGTTCCTTTGTCCAGAGTTTTAGTTCTCTGTGATCTCTACAGGCATTTCAAGACCTTCAGTTAATGGTTCTCTCCAGAAACCCTTGTTCCTTCAGCTTCATGGTCTGTCTCACCCTGGAGTCAGAGCTTCTTGCAGGTTAAACTCTAAACATTTTGTATGGAAAAATATATCCAAAGATGTTGGCCTATGGGCTAATTCCTGCATTTCTTGTCAGAAAAGCAAAATCCAAACCCAAATTCATTCCAGTGCTCCACAAATCCCTGTTCTCACTAGAAGTTTCAGCCATCTTCATGTTGACCTTGTTGGACCTCTTCCAGTTTCTGTTGGTTTTAATTATCTTTTTACTATGGTGGATCGTACTACTGAATGGCTGGAGATCATTCCTCTCTCATCAATCTTTGCAGCTAGTTGTGCTCAGGCTCTGCTCTCAGGATGGGTTTCTAGGTTTGGAGTTCCATCGGTCCTTACTTCAGATCGTTGAACACAGTTCACCTCCTCCTTATTGAAAGAAAGACAACCTCATTCCATCCTCAGAGTAATGGTATGGTTGAAAGATGTCACCATTCATTGATGAGTTCTCTCTGTTCCAAGCTAGCAGGTTCAGGTTTGGGTCTGAGGGATGATCAAGCTTGTTCCTCTGCAAAAGTTGTTTATGGTTCTTTTTTGGTGCTCCCTGGAATGTACCTAGATGCTCCAGAGTTTCCCTTGGAGATATTCAAGTCTCGAATCCATTCTGTCCTGCAGAGTTTTTCAGCTCCTCCTAATCACAATGTTCGTGCAACAGCTCCTGCTGTCTTTGCCTCCCTGAAAACTGCAACCCATGTGTTTGTTCGCAAGGATTCAACTACTTCTCCTCTCCGCCTTTTGTATAGAGGTCTGTACCTGGCTCTACAAAAGGATGTCAAATATTTTACTCTGCAGTTAGGAGCTCGGGCAGATAAATTTTCAAGAGACAGGCTCAAACCAGTATTCTCTACTGAAGTTATAGTTCCTCAAGTTCCTTCAACCAGAGGACATCCTCGGCAAGCTCCTCCGGACTGTTCGTCGCCCCCTGCAGCTCCTCCTTGGGTTTAATTAAGTTCTCTGCTTTCTCCGCCTCGCCCTCAGGCTATTCTCTGACCTCACTATCAAGTTCTCCTGTTCTTAGAAGAAACCCACCTAGAGCGGCCTCACAACCAACTACAGCTTCATCTCCTCATCAAACTTGTAGATGATGCTGGGGGGACCTCCTCTGTTGCGGAGCTAAAGACGCCCTTCGAAGGCTCTAACCTACAGGGCATAGTGGAGGTTGCATTTTTAGTTAGTGGGTGCATTTTTTTAACCCTGTACCTAAATAACAAAAATTTAAAATTCAAGCTAAAATTACTAGTGTTGTTGACAAATTAGATAATAATCTACAAAGAAAAAAACTCAAGCTAAATTTAATAGTTTTCATACAAAAATTACAAAAATCTTCTATGCAGAATGCAGGGGGCTCTGCCAATCTGCAACCCTCCGCCTCGTTCACTTGTTTCACTCGCGGTGACCCTGGACCCATCCTAAAACACTCCTCTTTGCACCTCTCTTGGGAAAATCCTGGTTATACGGGCCTGAGCATAGGATAAAGGGCCAGAGGGGGTAATTTCGAATCTTTACCTTAAATGGTTGTAAATTGCACTTTTCTTGTGTAAATTGCAGTATTCTATGCAACTCAGGAGAGGAATACAATTCTGACAAGTGAAAGGGAAAGGTTCTAATGCAAGGAAAGTAAATTGCAGTTGCGTATCCTCTGCGTACATATTAAAACCAGTTCTCTCAGGGCGGAATTTGTAATCAAGAATAGATGCACCAGTGTTCATTTAATATCCGAAGAGATTAAAAGCACTGAATTTTGATAATTTTGATAATTCACATATTAGTTTCCTATGACCAGAATATTTCATTGATTTTTTTTATGTGAAAGATGGATCCCATGTCAGGCTTCGACATCCGTCTTGTGTTTACATTACCGCCCAGAGACAGTACACTGCAGTACAAAAGATGCGCACACCTCTGAAAAAACTTTCCTTGCATAACCTTGGGAACGGGGATAATAAAATGGAATAGAAACGTGCACCAATGTCGTCTTTACGAAATTTATCCCGCTTTCCTCTCACAATTAATGTCCATTGATTGACATTGATCGTACAATTCTTACAGTGCACAAAATACAAAATACATTCTATAATATATTTATAGCCTTTTTTGTCTGTTAAAAGTACATATTTTGAAATAAAATATATTTATTTGGTCAGACAGAAGTTATCTATATATCCGTTATACAGTGCATGTGCCCCAATAACATGTGAATTAAATGACTACTTCTATATTCTTTGTTTCATGCTTATTTTATCGTAAACTCAAAAAATTATATAAATAAAACAAAATCATTTCGTAAATTTTTGTAGCAACACCGAAAACTATAACTAGTCTCAGCTGATTTCCAAAATGTGGTTTACAATTTTTTATAAAGAAGGTAGACCACATTTTGGAAATCTAGTTAGACTTTTAAACTTTATGTCATGTATAAATTAACGGAAATCAAAGACGTTATTTAAGTCGTTTCTCAATTCCCATGGTTATTAGGGCACCCTGTATATATAGATCATAGAGTTGGATGAGTTCGTTATTAAAGTAATAAATCATATGAAACTATTAATTATTTATCAGATCCTGTCCTCAATAGGGAAAACTTTACGAGAAAAGAATTATTTTTAATTCTGAAGGGATTAATCGTGCAATATTATATGTAATATCCCTCCCTTTACACTAAATAGAACCCATATAGGATTTGAGACTATTGTAAAAGAATTTATTCAATCTTGTTCTTTTCTTTGAGAATTTCTCTAACTTTTTATTATTAGTTCAACCCATTTAATTGTGAATCGAAAACCAGGGCTAGAATCGTTTGGTTTCTTCTATTTGAATTCAATCGCGGTTTGGTTTAAAAGTCAACAATATCTAAAGTTTTTACGTACGGAGGCGTTCATATACATATTTTTACTTAATATTGCATATGCCGATTAAAAAAAAGTATGAAAGAGAAAAGGCAAAAAAATTATGTTTGATAGGTCAAGTTGGAATTGAAAACTCTGCATGCTGGAATACTGTTTTTATTTCTTAAAAAATATCAATCGTCATTGGAAAATTCCAATGAAATTATTTAAAATTGGCGCTTTTGTTGTGTTACATCCATGTTTTACATTTGAATACATTGATGCATACTGAAACAAAATTCCAATTTTAAAAATATTATTTTCAAACTACTTTTAAAACTGTTTGCTAAATATATAAAACAACATATCTATAAACAAACGATTGCTCCAATGTCGTCTTCCTATTCCAAAATGTAATGGTATACCGCTGTTGCAGTCACTGCAGGAACGCAACTATGGGGGGGGGCTAAATTTCTCGAAAATTTGAAGAAAAAAATATGCCCCCAGCCCCCCACAGTAATTTATTTTTAAACCTACTTAAAGCAAACTCAAATTCTCTGCAACATTTTTTAATATACGCTCTAGTAACCTAGTTCTTTTATTTTCGCCTCCTTTCTGTAAAAATGTACCCCAATTGAATTTTTAAGCTAACACTCACACATTCTTTTTCAAATTGCCCCACCAGACTTTAATTTGACCCTTTGTTCAACTTTTTTAACCCTTAATTAGTTTATAAGAATACCACTATTTTTAATTTGCACCTAAATTTAATTTTTTATCACCAAACGTTTTATAAATACACCCAACTTTAAAATTTACAGCCTTATCTAAAAAGAATGCCCTATAATTAAGAAGTTTTGCGCCCAACAAAAAAATAACCCTTAGATTAAATAAAGCCTCTTCATATATTCTGAAAATGCCCTTAAATAAAAAAATTGGATTCCAAAATAATGATTTAAGATTTTTCATACACAAAATTGCCCAAAGTGAAAAAAGCCAAACAAAAATAGAATTTGCCCTCATAAAACGAAATTTGCCCCTGAAATATAAATTTAAGTTTTGAGTAAATACACATTTTTCCTGCCTCCCACTAGAAATGTTTAGGGGGGGGGGCAGAAGAAAAAAATTTCGCGCTACGCCCAATATGCTTGCACTTTGCCCCCCCCCCCCCCTACTGAATGTTTACTCACTCGCCTGGCAGTCAGTAAATTTTACTCATTCAATACTTTTTTATTTGTATAATAAACAAGTAAATGTATTGTGCTGTTATAATTACAATTTTAACAATTTATACTTTTACATTTATGCTTCAGGAATTGGGGATATGGTATCATAATTTTCATTTCACATTTGTTGTGTCCGCATATTTTTATAAATATATTTTCTTCATATATCGTCTTTTCTAACGGATGAATGTCGTCTTTAGGGGATACGACTAGAGATCAGCTTACGCAGCATATACTCACAGCTCACAGATTCTGAAAAATATTAGATTATATTCTATTTGATTTTTTGAACAAAAAATATTCGTTTATTTTTACAAAATGCATCAATCAAGTAAAGGAATGTTTCCCCCGTCTGAAAAATATGGTTCACATGGAGTTAAATTTGGAAATACAGGGTGTCCCACGAAACATGAAAGTTGGTGAATAGTTTGAAATGTCTCTCTATGACTTGTAAGTTTTTTGATACTACAGAGACTAATAAAGAATAGTATATGACAGTCGTATTATGTAAAATTGATTTCTATGTAATATATATTAGTAAAAGACTTTTTAACTAAATAAACTGAACAAAAAGTCTTAAATATCTAATACAGTATATGGAAGAAGACATTCAAAACTATTCACCAACTGTCATGTGTCGTGGGACACCCTGTATCTAAAAGATGGTGACTGGGTGACTTTGCGAATTCTCCTGAATAATCGTTTTTTGATTCGTTCAAGGTTCGAGAAAAATATTAACTTAATAAACCAACATAGTTGAAAGCTAACGGAACCGCTATATATTTATACTAAAGCAATGATGGCCAATAACTTACGGCTTTTGAACTTTTCTATGGTTCTGAAAAAGCTATGAGGTTTTTAAAATTTCAAAAGCGGTTAATTTAAACATTTCCTGTCCTTACACTATGTCAAATCTTAGGACTGAGAGATGAGACAGGGGGATCCCACGAAGGATAAGACTTGTACGGAATTTATTCTGTCGTTTTCCTTAAATTCATGATTCCCTTCAACTGTAGACAATTGTGTCTATTTAGTAGATCAGTCATAAAAGACTGTTCAAGGCAGAACACTAAATTTAACGTGGGATCGTCATATTTTCAGAGTTTCAGGTTGTATTTTCTGTTATGGGTAATTTGTACATTTTCCGTGGACAACAGTTTTCTATTTGTTAATTATTACACTTTTACGGAATATAGTTTTAAAATGTGAAATCGTTATTTTTTTATGAAACAGGTTTAATTTTGGTGCCTTTTAAAAGTCTAAAAAATGTATTGTCCTAACTAATTTGTTGTACATTTTCAGGCATCAATTAAGGTACTGTAAAGGAAAAATGAAAGGGGATATAGAGGGGGTATAGAGGGGGTATAGGCTTAAACCTTAGCATTTTAGGAGTTGATAGAGACCCATAAAGTTCTATATGATGTTCCTGTATCGAGAAATTGATATAAAACTGTGGCAAATTTATACGAAAATTTATATATATATGTAATTTTTTATAAAAATTGTAGATTTAAACAGATTATATTCAGCAAATACGCAACCAATTTGAAAACGACGATATCCCAGAGGAGCCAAAGAAACTTAGGTTTGCTCCTGTTATTTCTCACTGATTTAATTTGATAAAAGTCCCCTGAAAAATTTTAGACAAAATGGTATCTAGACTTACAAGCAACATTTCATAACAAAAAAAATAAATCTGGTTACTTCCGGGTGTCCCAATAAACATATGAAATCGAGTGACTTTATTATGAATTTAGAAATATACATATATACACGTACCAGCTGTACTCATATGTACTTATATCCCCCCTCCCCATTAACTCATATGTTNGCCCCTGATTGCAGTGCAGTTTTTATAATTCCTGAACGTTTTTTTACAAATAAGATTCTTTAAACAATAAAACACCCGCACTCACTCCTGGCATTTCCAAAATCAAGAATGCTTTCTGATCTCTCTGATTTTAGTTAATGAACAGGATATCATTCCGATTCAATTTTATTATATAAATTTTTTTTTCTAAACTTATGGTAACATTTCAGTATTTTTGGAGAAAAAATATGTATTTTTCAAACCCTGTTTAAGTACAGGCCGAATGCATTTGTTTTCCACTTGAGAGCGCCCTTTTATGTCAAACCCATTTAATGCGAAAACCGTCCTGTTTGCAAAACTTTGATCATATCTGCAGAAACCGTTGCAAAAATTAGTTTGTTGACCCTGAATAGGGAATATCTGTGTAGAGATTATCTTTAGCAGTTAGTGTTTCATCTTTGTACAGTCAGAGTTTTAATAAGACGAGAAAAGAAACGACTACGGATGTAATAGAGAAACGGAAGAAAAGGTAGGATAAAATTTAAAATAAAGATGACGGGAAGAAATTGCACAATTTTTTAGATGAATGTAAATAAAAATGGGCAGACTAAAATATATAAAAAGGGTATGAAAGAACTGCAGAGAAAAATGGAAAGGGGGGGAAAAACATTAAGAAGTTAAGTGAGAAATTTTGGATGATAAAAAGTTATGGATTTTGTAGGGGGGAGGGGGGGGGGGGGGCAGGACTAATGATCGTCTTCTGGTTATACTGTTCAGGGCTTAAGAGAGTAATACACAACTATACAGAAATATACATTATATATACTCGATCGTTCAGTTACAGCAGGCTTCAAAGGGGACAAGGACCTAAAAAAATGCAACTAATAGGCCAAGGGGCCAAGGGGGGGGGGGGGTTGTAAAATTCATGGTCGAAAGAATTTAAGAAATAACGAAACGGTTTAAAAGTAGAAATTCCCTCTGCTATTCTTTCTTCTTTTAAATAACGGTTGTTTTACTGGTGGTATTTTTATGAACGAACAAAACTTTAAAATTGCAATATCAGTTGAATTCAGAGGAGTTTTTCCTTAATGTTATATTTTGAAGGTTTGATTCGACGGATCATGGTAAAACAAGAGATATTTTTAACAATAGAATTTTATTGGAACCCAGATTGTTTTCAAAAACCTTCTGAAAAGGATTATTTACTATAATACAAAACACAATTATACCGACAGTTAGTCTGAACCATTTTTTAGACTGAAAACATTAACCATCCATAAATTCCTTTTTTCAAAAAGATGTTAAAAAATCCAAAAATAGTAAAAATTTCAAAATTTGGCTCCAATTTTTATTTTTTATTTCTTATTTTTTTGTTACTATTGTTTCCTGAAATTACCACTTTATTCAAATAATCTTTTAATGATGACAACATTACGCTACGAATCACTGGTATCTGGTATCCATAGAGAATAGCCCCGGTATCCCTGGTATCCCTGGTATCCCTGGTATCCCTGGTATCCCTGGTATCCCTGGTATCCCTGGTATCCATTCTCTATGCTGGTATCCTTATTATCCCTGGTACCCCTGGTATCCCTGGTATCCCTGGTATCCCTGGTATCCCTGGTATCCCTGGTATTCCTGGCGTTCCTAATACCCCAATTTTAATTATTACAAGTAGGCAGCAAAAAAACTCGATAGTAATTTTGACGAAATGTCGAACAGATTAAATTATGAACATCTTTTATGTTGTTATGCCTCTAATTCCAAAAAAAATCCGATACAAGGATGGATGAGAACAAAAAATGTTATTTTGTTATGATTATTTTAGGACCAGGTATTTTTGTTTTTACTACACAATTATTCTAAACTTTAAAGAGAGGCCGCCTAAAATGAAGATGGGGTGGCATATTGTACAAAAGCAGTGAATGTAAAAACAGTCATTAGAACAGTAGTTTCCGTTTACAATTTATCTAAAAAAACTTGAAACAAATTAAAGTTCTGAAAACCTATGTAATTAAATAAATTTTCTTTTTCTCCTCCTGTCCTCTTATATATCATACTTTTTATTGATTTACTTTTTTCTTCTGTTTTATATAATAAAGCTCTTCGCTCATACATATATATTATATATATATATATATATATATATATATTTCATTACTTAAGCTAAAATAATAATGTATACCAAGCGCCGTTAAATATGATTAACGAATATTAATAATAAACCTGGACAACGTCGGGTACTCCAGCTAGTCATATATAATAAGCTCTTCCTTCATATATAAATTTGTTCGCTATGCTGGCCAAACAGCTGCACTGGACCAAATTGGCTAAAATTTGTTCAGTGAAGCCATGGATACCGGCCTGGGGATGAAATATTCTAAAATTTTTTTTGTAAGTTGGGCAACGCCGGGAACTGAAGCTAGTTGGTTACCAAATAAAATCATGGATTTAGTGAAAATTTAAGAGCTATACAATTTGGTAGTAAGAAATTTGTTAATAATCTAAACAAATTATTTTCATTGGTTTAACCAGATCGAAATATTATAGAAAGCAACTTTAAATTTTATTGCAATTAGGCCTAAACTTTTAACTAATATCCTATGTTATATCCTATATCCTATATCCTCCTGCGAATCCCCCCCCCCATCCATTCACAAACCCTAACACACATGTTTCTCTTCAGAAGCATACACCCTAAGGTTAACAAAAGTAAAAGTAGAAACTCTACAGAATTCAGGGGTTAACATTTTACATAAAAGTTTGACCCCCATTTCCCCCCCCCCCCCATTGGACGATTACACTATCGGATAAGAGGGTTGAAAGTTTTGTAAATATATAAAAGCTGTAAATGTGTAAACTAGGTTTTCCCTCCCTGTCAGTAAACGAAGATTCACTTGACGCAGTTCAAACCTTTTAACCCAGAAACCTTATTCATGGATTTCATGCTTTACAACGCATTTCAAACCATCCAGCGATTTTTTCGTTGGACATTTCTTTTCTCTTATCATTTTATCCTTTTATCATTTTATCCTTTTATCATTTTATCATTTTATCATTTTATCATTTTATCATTTTATCATTTTATCATTTTATCATTTTATCATTTTATCATTTTATCCTTTTATCATTTTATTTTAACTCGCTCTTTCTCATTTCTCTTCTTATCTTCTTTCTTCTAATACATCAGGTTTCAATCTAATTTCTTTTCTTTAATCTTTTCGGTTTTTTACATTAATCTCTTGGATCTGTTGGAATTTTAAACGAAACTTGCATCTAACCTCTTTCCTCTCTCTTTGTTTGATGTTTGGCCCAGTTTTCCCTTTCTGGTCTTTGGGACATTATAAAGAAATTGCCATTTTTTAATGAAATGTCAATTAATTTTTCATCACTGAAGAAATTAAACACAAATAAGTCAGAAAATTTAGATTACATAAGTGTTTATGATTTTATAACTATATAATAATCCAAACCTGTGAACAGTGGAGGTCATTGCTGGAAAATATTGTTCCTACTCGTCTAGTAATGATGGATGGGGTGAAGGGGAGTGTGGTGGTGAGACGGGAGGTGTGGTAGGGGGTGATGTCACTATAGCTATAGGTCTAGTAGGAACTGGGGTAGGAGGGCTGGGGATAGCAATCCTTCTTACTGTTGCTTCTGCCATGGTTGGAGTGCAAGTGGAGAGTTAGTTGGAAAGAGAAAACGCGCGTATAGTGGTGGAGTCTCCGCTCTCCGCTAGGGGGTGCAGGGCAGGGTCGCTGAACTTGGAACTATTTCCGGAGATTTTGACGGAACATGAAGAGACGGCGGGACTAGAGCCAGGGTTATAAAATTCTGAAGGGAAAATTTTATTAATTGAAGATGGGGTAGTGAGGGGGGGGGGGCGGTGGTTCTTAATGAACGTTTTATTGTTTAGGTTCAATGAAATACTGAGAAGCATTCCTTCTGATTCAGATGGGTTCACGGAAAGAAGGAAATTTTCCAAGCTTGTCGGGAAGCTTGTCAGTGAGTCATCGCTCCCCTGATTTCCCAATTTCTTCTCCTGCTTTATATTTCTAAGTTTTCAGTGTGTACCAGGATCCATATTAGATAGATAGATATATTTATTATTTAACCCGTTTTCAGGAACCATATTAGTTAAACATGTCTATTATTTAACCCGTTTACAGGATCCATATTAGATAGATAGATATATTAATTATTTAACCCGTTTCCAGAAACCATATTAGTTAGATAGATATATCTATTATCTAACCAGTGTCCAGGAACAATATTGTAACAATACCAAACTTCAAAATTATTCGATAGGAATCTCTAATCTCTGATTAAACGTCTCTGAATCTATTCTCTAACAGTTAATGATTAAGACAACCATTCGTAATCCAAGTATCTCTGTAAGTGTTTATATTTTGTCTAGTGATACAGGTAGTCTTAAGGACTGACCGCAAATACAGGTTACAAATATGATAAGTACGATATAGTATATTATAAATCATAAGTAAGATATATCTATTATATCTAACCCCGTCTTTTTCTCAAACCAGTATTTTGAGACTGTATTATTATAGTCCCTTTAATAATGTTCATACTATTAATTAACATTTTTCTTCAAAATTTTACTTACAATCTCTACGTTTAGTAAATTAACAAAATGAAAGGATTTTGATCAGAGAAGAAATGTAGGTAAGCGGCTGAACACACCGAAGAGGTGCAGGGTGTCCCATGAAACGTGATAGTTAGTAAATAGCTTTAAATGTCGTCTTCCATACACTGTATTAGATATTAAAGTTTATTTTGTTAAATAAATCTTTGGCTCAAATATATTTTACTTTGAAATTAATTTTATTATTATATGACTCCTGTATAATATTTTTATTATTGTCTTTGGTATTAAACAACTTTAAAAATTCTGGAAGAAGACATTCTAAACTATTTACCAACTGTCATGTTTGGTGGGACACCCTGTAGTAAAAGAAGAAGGAATATAAAAAGGGAAATCACAAAAAATGGATTTAAAAGAGAACGAAATAACAATTGTTTTAGTAAGAAAACTGAACTCTGCAAAGGGAAATGGGGAGAAGAATATTATTAAAAGGGAAACATAAAAGCAGGTAAAATAAATCAAGGGGGGGGGTTGGTACTGCTTGTGAGAAGGGAAATATAAAGCCGGTTGTATTTAGTAATATTTCCGTTATATGTCACACTTTTTGCTTACTGAGGGAGTAGATCGTTATAGTAGAGTCCGGTAATATGCAATTGATGAAAAAGTATGAAAATTTAATTTTGATTGTTTCTTACTTTTTATATCTCCTTCAATGTTATGCGTAGAAAAATTAAAAGTCTTCGTGAAATGAATATGAAAAATACTCTAAATTAAAACAACGCTTCAATAAATCTTAATCAGAAAAAATCAGAAAAAAATATTTAATTGTCTTTTTCATATAATTATGAAATGTCTCTAAGAATTTTCTGTGTCCCAAACATTTTTAAAGCCTGTTAAATCAGTTGAAATAATTACAACTTAGACAATCTTAAGCTACATTTTTAAAGAAAGTAATTAATCGAAGTTTATTCCTCTTTTTGCAACTTCTTAATGTCTGTTTCACACTTTTTGCTTAGTATGTTTTCTACTAATAATTGAAGGTCATATACCAATTTTAAAAAAAAATTTCAAATTGTTATGTCTAAATATATTATTCAATTGTCATTCCATTAGCTTTGTTTTACCTTTTGAAGTTTTCTGAAAGAAAACTTGTAACGGAATGGAAGAACAGGGACAAAAAGAATAGATGAGTGAAATATTAAGACAGAAAAGTAGAAAGAAATATGAGAAAAAAAGAGAAATAAACAATTAGAAAGAAATAACAGGATGGAAACAGAAAATATAGACGTAGAGAAAAAGGACAAAAGTAATCTTTAAAAAGAAGAAAAGAAATAAGAAAGTAGAGAGAAATGGAAAATGAAAAATCAAACTAATGTAGATAAGGGGATGCACTGAAACAGGAAAATAAATAGCAATAAGTAAATAAAGAGCAATAGGATGATAAAACGCAATAGGATAAAAAAGTAATAAAATAATAAAGAGCAAAAAAAAACAATAAAGTTCAGTGCAATATGGGAATAATGAGCAAAAGGAAAATAAAGAGCAATAGTTTCAGATAAGATAATTAACAGGATACAAGAGAATGGAGAGAAAAAAGAATGAATAAAAATAGGAGAATGGAGAGAAAATGAGGATAAAGAAAATAATAGGATGGAGAGAAACAGAGGAGTATGAAGAGAAATTAGATAATGAAGAGATATAGAAGGATGAACAGAAATAAGGGGATGGAGAAAATTAAGATAATTTTAAAAAGCAGGAAAATGGAGAGAAATGGGAAAATGAAGAAAACAATTGAATGGGGATAAAAGGCTGAATACATATTAAAGAATAGAAATAAATAGAAAAATAAAGACAATTTGAGAATGAACAAAAATAAGAGAAAAGAGAGAAATAGCAGGATAACATAAAGATGATGAAATAATGGTGACGATATTAATATGAGAGGATGGAGAAATGAAGAAAAAAGAAAAACAAGGGGAGAGGGTTCAGTGCACGGGATATTGCAAGGGGGGGGGGTATAAAAGTACGTTAGGAAGGAGGAGAAAAACGTTAAGCACCTATATTGAGTAAAAACAGTGGTATGGAAGGGGGGGAGGTATCAAATACAAGTATCTGAGTATAAGGGGAGGGAAAATGGGGGAAGGGGAGGAGATCAAAACAACAAATCAAAGTCTAAACATGAAACGGTTATACAAAGAGTTGTTACAGGTGGGACGAGTGGGACCGGGGTTGTAGTGAAAAGGAAATAAGAAAATTTGAAAATAAATCTATAGTTTCGAAGGTCGAATGCAAAAAAAAGGAGTGGAGACTGGAGATCAATTACTACAAATGAGATGTTAATTATCTAGCAAGGGAAGGGAGGAACTTGACAAATTTAGCAATTAGAATGTTCAATCTGCACTAAAAAGAGTTTGAAGAATTATTTAGACAATTTCGTCCATTTTTATTGTAGCTGAAATCCACGCGTGATCGACTTTAATAGAGAGACTACATTTGAAAACAATACATTTTTATAGCTAAAAACATGTTTATCTCGTCAGACTAGAACATACCAACTTTAAGGTGTACCGTTGTGAATTTAACATATCACTGTACATATGATTATGTATACATTGTACAATTTACATACATTACACAATCAAAGGAAAGTTGCGTATCCTCTGAGTACATATTTAAACCAGTTCTCTCTGGGCGGAATTTGTAAACAAGAATAGATGCATCAGTGTTCGTTTAATATCCGAAGGAGGTTAAAAGCATTATATTTTAATAATTTTGATAATTCATATAATAGTTTCCTATGACCAGAATATTTCATTGATTTTTTATGTGAACTATGGATCCCATGCCAGGCTTCGACATCCGTCTTGTGTTTACATTACCGCCCAGAGACAGTAAACTACAGTACAAAAGATGCGCACAACTCTTAAATAACTTTCCTTGCATCATAACCCTGAAATAACCTATCTTTATGTCCAGATACATACTTACATCAAAGTGTTTATTCAGTGTTTTTATATAAATACTTACATACACCCCTACATAACACACAATACATGTTTTATATAAATACTTACATACACCCCTACATAACACACAATACATGTCTTTTGGATGGGAAAACTGCAAGGCCAATAAAAATATTTTGGAACCTAACGGAATGTATAGTTGAGTATAAACAAGTGTTGCAGGTTGGAAAACTAGTTCCAGGGTACCAGGGTATTAGGATGTCCCAAAGAAACAGCTTCATGCAACATTGAGTCGTTAACACGATTTCAGTAGTCTCCCAGTATAAAAATTAACACTGAAAACTTCAAGCCTATGGGGTTTACAAAATGTGGTCTGTTTTAAACAGGCTCAAAATTGACCGAGATATCGGTGAAGATGGTCCAGATTCCAATTTATTGAAAAACAACAAAATTGTTTAACATTTTAAAGTAGAACAACGGCATTTTGGAAACCTCAAATAAGGTTTGATCTTATCTAGGGAATAGTCTTTATCATTTATCAATTCTCAAAAATTAAAAACGATTTTTAAGTCTTTTTCTAATTACCATGTTTATTGGGACACCCCGTAATTGGAAGGGAGGAGATATATTGTCTATACATTAAAGTTAACTGTTCTGTAGAGAGCTGATAACCTACCCTTGCTTCGGTGACTTGGTATTGACCTTGACAAACCAATAGGAAAATTGCCCGCCAATACATCTAACCAATCAGAGACGGCTTTCAACTTCGAAAGAAATGCAAAGGCACACCTGAGCCCCCCCACCACCACCACAAAGATTTTAATGAATTACTTTTACCGGTTGAGCAGGGCCGGGAAGGAAGATAGTTTTTATCGCATTTTGAAAAATTATTGAATTTAGCCAATTTTCGATATAATGTAAGAGGTCCCAAAACATTGAAGGATATGTAGGATGAATAATAGCGAAATCATGCATGGATTATTAATATATCTTTATTATTAATTGATGTTTCTGTATTTTTTGCGATCCCTCTAAATATCAATTTAGTGATACCTATTTATTTATTCCTAAATATCAGCCAATATTAAAGGATTTATTCAACCTGACAAGAGTGGTATTAAGAATGTTCAAAATTTATTTATAACATTTTTTCTTAGATTCCTGCATGCATCCTTTGGGTGCACACTTTCCCATGATTATTAAATATACATTTAATTAATATTTACTATACATTTAATTATTAATTTATTTAATATACATTTAATAAACTTTATACAACATACATTTAATTATTAATTTATTTAATATACATTTAATAAACTTTATA